TTTATAAAAACATCGTAATCCGTACCCAGCAATATTTAGGGTTACATAAAGTTTTCTTTACTTGATTAATATAATTAGTAATACTTGAGATAAAAGCATTTGTACAGAATAACAAAGGAACATAAATATTTCTCAGCAAACTTTATATCTAAAAAATTAGTTGTAGTTGTAAAGCTTCTGTAACATTACTGAAATAGAGATGAAAAACACGAACAGTGAGTAATAATGTAATTTCTATCACAGAACCTTCAAAATTGCATCCAACATTTTCTTTGACTTAACATAATTATTTTCTCGTTGTTCACATGATTTACGGATTTTAAATGAAGGATACAAATCTTCGCGAGGATAATACGATATATTTGCTATATATAATAATTATATTTTACATAGTTTACACACAATACATTTTTGAACGCGTACGCATCTTTACCAGAATTTGACGCGCAGTATATCCGATGTCCTAGTTCTGTAGGTTCGCAGTGTGTACAACTGCACTCGATTATTAGCGCTGTTGCCACATCTACATAGTGCGTTCTTTAAATATAATTTAAAACTACTTAAATATGATATTTTTATGTTGTTAATTTTCAATATGTATGCTATGTGCATATTGAGTATATTTCTTTGCTATACCTATAGATAATGTTTATCTCAAATAATTTCAATAGAATTTTTAATTTTTTTAAGTTGGTAGCGGGTTTTAGTCCTATACGATATACCTCCTTAATTGTTGCAGGGTCATGACATTTTACGTCGAATTTGGAAAGTCTAAAACTATCGGAAATTTTTTTTTCAATGGGTTGCCACACTTAGTGTATATGGAAAAGTGGTTAATGTTTTCGTGAACAAAAAGTTACGAATCGGATTTAACCTCACTTTTTGAAATCCAACACGTGTTCGACACTGTTTCTAAATTTTGTTGCTGTACTAGTTTTTAACTTTTTAAAATTTAAATGTATTACATGCGTCGAACTTAACCCTGAAAGGTCACACTAGTGCGAATTGGGATTTTTGCCCACTTTGAGCCCTTATATCTTCTTTATTTGTTAACAAAAATAAACGTTTTTCGAAAAATTACTTTTATACACAAGAGTACAAAATAAAACATCAATTTACAGAAAAGGAACCAAAAATCGCAATTTCAAAAAATGCTTTTTCGAGATACCGAGAAAAATCGATAATATATCAATATAGACTTTTTTTTTAATATAAACAAATTTAAAAACCTTTTTTTTACTTTTCTGTAGCCATTACGAGTATTTATAAAAAAATACGAATTTAGTAATTTTTCGAAAAAAAAAGTTTTTCAATCGCATTTTTTATTAACAAATTATTATTTTTTAAACAAATTACGTCATTCGATTTCTCGGAAAATTTTACTCTACTTTTGATATAAATACGTTGTTTTTGTTAATAGTAAAGACAAAGGTTCAAAGTTGGCAAAATCTCAATCCGCGACCTTTAAGGTGGCTCACCCCAAGTGTGACCTTTGAGGGTTAAGTACAAGTTCGTAGTACATTAACGCCAATCGTGTGTTTTCTTTTAATCGGACCAAAAATGGCGGCACTATAGCTTACGGTTTTTTTTTTAAGCAACATCCAGTATAACATGTACAAATTTCATGCCTGTTTCTAATACTGCTGTCTAAACTGCAGAAATATTTGCCCCAGCAGCGTTTAAAATAAGGTTTCGGGCCAAAACGGTGATCCTAACGTGCTTTATTTGATTATCGGCTTAGTCGGTGCCAGGTTATTCACACTTGGCTGTTGTAAATTGTGATTCAGTGTGTACACTTCACTTATCTAAATTTAAGTTTTACGAGCAGTTTGGTTTTCCATTAAACTAGCGTCAGTGGCGACGATAAGTCACATTCGAAGGCCATATTTCCAATACGTTATTCGATACAAAAGAAAATTTTTTCGTATTTCATATGCTAATTTCATATGCTAGCGAGTAGAATTGGGACATGGAAACGCATTGGAAAAGTTACGAAATTTTTCTTGCCTTTATTTTTTTTATTATTAATAATTACTGTTGGGCAATATTTAAATCGATATCAGTTGTTCAATTGTGTTGTAGAAAACGCTGCACTAAATCCCATGACCGTCGATTCTCACAAGTTTCAATGGAAAATCTAATCTGCGTTAGTTTCGCGTTAGGCGTAACAGAATTTTGAGCTGTGGATAATTTGGACAAGACTGTTCAAGTCTTACTGACGTTCTTGATAGAAATGCGTTTTCTTTTTTGTTTTGAATGATGTGTGTAATCGTTCACATCTAATCTTGCTAAACAGTAAGACCTCTTGAAATTAGAGTGCTAATACTTGAAAAAAAAACAAAGGCGGGTGCGTTAAAAAAATAAACCGTTAAGTATTTTTAATTCTTGTTTTTTAGTCTCTGTTCGCTATTCACACTGTATGTAAAGAATTACGCTGGCGCGCGATTTTGCAATACACTTTGTAATGCTTTCCGCTTTAAATAGGGGGGCCAACACAACATTTCAGATTATTTAACGTTACGTAGATGCGCTTATATAACTGCTGTACGTTCTAAATAGAAAAAAGAAACCGAGTATACGAACGCAAAATATTTTAATATTGGATGTATGTACAAGGTTTCGAATAGCTAGAGAGAACGGTTGCCCTTGTTTCCGTATACAGGGTGAAACATTGAATTATTTGAACATCAGAAGCCGACGGTTCTAATTTCATTAAAGAAATCTGTAACAGTTCTTTCAAGTCTTTTTTTTTCACAAACAGATCGACTGACTACGCCCATGTTTCTTATCTACATGTGGGTAAACCCCTTGCTAATATATTCGTGACTGTTTGTAAGATAAACACGATCACTTCCAAAATAAATCATGATCGAATAAAAACTTATGGAAATAGGATTATACTAAATTCTATCTTACTTTTGAAAGTTAATTCGTTACTGACTAGAACAAAGCTATAACAACTGTCATTGACATTAATGTTTACGTCTACTGTTGAAGGAGATATCAGTTAACCAACACCGCCTCCCACGAACATGAATCACATGGGGATCGTGGCGTCCTTGTGGCGATTTGGATTGACTATTTTTAATCCATCTTGCGAGTAGTCGTACTTAGTTAATATCACTTCTGTTCTGTGCCGTTAAATAATTTTTCTAGATGGTCTTGAGATCGAGTTTAAAGTATACATACAGACAGCAAGCAAGGATCAAATCCAGTCAACAAAAGTCCAAAAGATCATGATTGTGTTCCTTTTCTATAAAACCCAAAATTCTTTCACACAAATATTTGAAATTAAAAGGCGTTATAAAAAAATTAAAACTACAGAATTGCATTCCAAAACAGAATTGGAAATAAAAAATATTGTAAAAAAACTTTTTTATGAAATACAATGTGAAATGTTGTCAGTGGTGATCATTTATTTGCGATATTTCCCGTTTTGGATGTGAAATTCGCCAGGTGGGTGTCATATTATTCGAAGAAAATTATTGGCTAATTATTTTGCGATAAAAAAGCGGAATTGCGACACATACAGTTGGGTTCCTAATTAAAAACCCCCTTGATGAAGTAACTGACCAATTAATGTACAGTTGATTAATAAATATTGTCCCGGAAAAAAATAATTTCCGGGTAAACGGAAATCGAACATGTAAATCGTTCAAAAAATATAACCTCGTTTTCAGTGTTTCATTGCGGTAGAACCACCAGACATATACCGGTTCCGTACTTATTACCTACAGTTCTCATTGGTATGTCGTGGGTGAGACAACCGACGAATGATCCAGCTATTTTTGGTGTCTTAACTGCCGACATGGAGTTGAGTGTAGGTGAGATGCAAATTAATAACAGTTTTCTAAAAACAGGCGAACGGATATTTTTGCCCGCGGTGTTTATATGTTTTGTTTATTTCCATCACGAGTAAATACGCACAACACATTGTTGCCAATTATCTAGAATGGCCGATAATGTTGGCATTTAATGAATGTGCGTCAAATAAAATGGTGATATTTTGGTCCGGCGGTCGCCAAAAATGGGGAAAACGTGAGAGAATGCACATCAGACTTGCCCGCTTACTTTGTCGAGAATAACTTTCGAATATTTATGCGTATTATCTTCCCAAGAAACGAGAGGTTACCCGCTTACATTTTTTTTTACGTCTGCTGGTCACTTTTCATTTTCGAACGGCCAGCATTGCTGTGGCAGTGGGGAATGGCCTTTAGTTCACTTAAATAATTTGTAAAGGCCGGACGATTTTCACGATTTACGTTTGATGCGGCACATTACAGATGGCGTACATAATTTTATTATATCTAAGTGTTAAACATAATACGATACGAACGTGATTGTATTGGTAAATAACGCTTCATGGTTAACGTTTCGTAAATTATGTTTTTTTGTCCTGTGTGTATGACGCTGGATCCTTCAATGCGTGATTTCTCAAAAAATCCGTCATTAAATATCGGAATGAGCACCAATAACACGCTATCGATACAATTTACAGTATCGCGTAGATGAATTTTTAGATTGTTTTGTTGCCGTACTACGCCTTAAAGAAAACGTACGCGCAAATAATACCTATACCGTGTCGACACACATGCCATAAAATGGAGTGAAATGACCTTTAAGTGGTGTGATTACTGACTGCGTCACTTATCAGTTTAAATTGTATACAAATATCTAATCTTCTACGTTGTATGTTTTTTTTTTTATTGTTTATAGCACGCTTAATATACTAATCGATTATAAATAATCCTTCTAATGGCGTTTGTGTCCACCTCGTACTTTAAAGAAAATTAAATTATATTTCTTAAAAATTATAAACGTACAGAAGCCTGCTTTCTTGTAGATGTGTAGGTATTATCAAAATAAAACACCTATGACCGATTTAAAACACGATATCTTATGCCATGTATATATAATTTTTTATTTTTTTTTTAATTTGAGATCTTAAAAGGTTTCTTTTTTTCTGCCCACGGTTACTGAACTGCTCTTTCCCGTTCCAGATTTGAGAAGCACTGGTTTCCGAACATACCCACCAGAGGACAAGGTTACCGATGCATCAGAGTTAACTGTGTGAGTCCCGTTGATCTCACGCTGGAGTTGGCCGCCAGCAAATGCGGACTCACGTACAGCGACTTACGCCTTCCCGCAGAACTTACAGTTTGGGTGGACCCCAATGAAGTGTGCTATAGGTGAGTAGTCGAAATAAATCCGTCGCAAGGGTCTGACTCTAATTTAGTATTTTTCTATGACAAATAAGTTTGCTTCTGAGACGGCTCCGCCCACACATGCGCACTGGAAACTATAAATAAATACACCTATTGTCTCTAACAAACTCATATATAAACGCAGCATTATCAGAAAAAAAATTAATAAGCCGGTACAAATAGGCTGTTCAATAATGCAACCGTCCAATTGTCGAGATTAAGGCTAATTACAAACTGCGACGTGCATCCGTGTATTTTTATAAAAGGAAAATGAATTTGTCCACTTTTACCGCACCTCTATCCCGATCTTTGCTTTCGTGCAGACCGGCAGAGTTTATTTTTAAGAGAGGTGGTTGAACTATGGCATTATTAATATTCTTATGCTTTTGGATAAATGCCCGTATTGTCTTACGATATGTAAATAAAGTTTAATCGGGCGGGTCCGAGCGAGGTCGTATGAATATTAATATTCGTGGGGGATATGGAAAAGGCGTTAGGTTTTGGAAACATCGACGTAAATTATTAGAATAGTTTAATGTTGTGAGTAAAAAATATATGGGTCAAGCTCGAGAGTGTTATATTATTTCCGTTTTTCTGGTAATCTTTTTCGAAACTTGGTCAGTGTCAGAAGTCATTGACACATATTCACAAACTAAACACGGTGCTTTAAAGAAATAATAAACAGCTTCTATTAAAAATTTGAAATAATATGAGTATTTTTATTTATATTTTATTATGTAAAACAGCAAACAGAAATATTTTGAAACAAATTAGTTTTACTAAGTATTATTATTATTATTATTATTATTATTGTTATTTGTATGTCTAAATGTATTTCAGAATTCGGTAATTAATTGTGATGACGCTGACCTTCAATCACTAGACTTAGAACCGTTTCGATCTTATCNATTATTAATTGCAAAGGTGCAACATTTTTTTTATGTGTAAAAATCGGACAAAAGCAATCTGTTTAGAAAATCAGTGTTCATTGCAATTCCGCTCTGCTCCTCTGCTAATTTCACACTGTTATTTTAAAAAGGTAGTTCGGGAGCTGCCCGGTAGTGGCGTAGACAAGGATTTAATTGAAATTTTAAAAAAGTTTGAATTGTTGTGTTTTCAGTTTATTTGGGAAATACGTACTTACATATTATTAAAGTTATACCTGTATCCTCCTATTTTTTTTTCAACACGAGTATCAAACTCGGCGTGAATAAAGGTTGTCGTTATTGTTTAATTTTTAAATACGCTTGATTACATTTGTAGAAACTTCGTACATAACCACTAAAAACTTACTTTTGTCAACTTTCGCTTTAATAGAGCGTTAAAGAACCATGACCTACTAATGTTTAAAATTTGCAGATTCCCGTAAGCAATTTTGATATTTTAAAATTTATAATATAGAAATACAATTTTATATCAACAAATTCAACTGCTTTTGCCGCTATCGCCATCATTAATTAATAAAATTATTTTTTGGTTTTAATTAATAAAATAATTTGACACACCTGATGTTACAACTGTTCAAAATTTTGTCTACCGACGCGTAAACACTTGAGCCCGTCTTACTAAAAACTAATGTAAACACTATCGCAAAAACGTTAATACTTGTAAAATCGGATTTCAGTTATCTGAATCGCCTGGCGCCACGTGGGGAGAGAGCCCGTTGCGTACAGCGCACGACGCGAATGACGTTGGAGACCCAGCGATGTAAAGGTCGAAAATACTACAATTTCGATAATTTTTTTCTCGGAAACTACAAAATTTTTTTTACGATATTGGCTCCATTTTTCATGACACATCTATTCCCATTTTTTTTTTTTGGATAAGTCTTGTATCGCCCTGTATAAAACCTCCGTCAGTAAAAAAGGAAGGCACGATTAAAATGGCAACTTTTAAGAATTTTTTTTTAATTTAATCCCGCGTATCATTATTGGATATTTTATTATTAGCAAGCTCTGCATTGTTTACACGGTCGTCATGGCAACCACGCGTTCGCTCGCCCTTTGCGACAATTGGCGCTACGTGTAACACGTGGCGCATTTTAAAAACAACGATGTACCGAAGGGAGACAGGCGATACCCCTTAAAATGGTGTTTCTTGGACGTTCAACATCACGTTTCTCTTGCGGTTATATTTCTATAATGCAAAATAGACCGGCAGCCTGCCCCGATATCGCGTTTGCGGACATGGTCACATCTATATTTAGCAAATTATTCTGTTAATTTCCTGCGCTTGAGGTTAGCTTTTTTCCAGGACTACTGACTACACTACACACGTAACTCCTAGGATATGATAATTTCGCTGTATTTCTATAAGAACACTTTGACCATCGATTGGTGTCGATTTAGTGTTTTCTACTCGTAAACAAATAGATGTAAATGTTTCTAATTGAGTCTTCAGTGTGACTTTGTACACGGTGTATAAACCAGGACAATTATTACACAAATATTGTTTTTATTGTATGTGTCGCAACATTTTCAATACACACCACATACGTGCAGCCTTCGTCAAATTAAAATACCAGCCAGCGCATAAAAATGGTGTTAATGAGATTTAGAGACAGTCCATTTATTTATAATGGGATTGTGAGGTTGTGATAATGCGTGTAAATTTCCAAGTCACACAGATACAATATGGGGTTTTCCAATGTTGCACAGTAATAGTTATTTCCATTATTTATTTTTTCAACGCCACCTGGTCTTCAATTAACTGGGTCTGTAAAAATCGAGTCCGAACTCATTAAATAAAAAAATCTCTTATGGACGTTGACTGCTTTATTCGGTGGTCGTTAATTTGATATGTGCGGCTGTTTTTGGGCAATGACTCCTCTTCACTTGCGGGCGAAATATTTTGTATCTGTGACGCGCATATTAATCGTCACTTTAACATTATTTCTGGTCGAAATCGTGATTTGAAATTCGGCTGTAACTGATTTTTTAAATGTCTGGTGCAGTAAGGGGAATTTACATTTAAGATTATACTATTTTTTCTACCCGCAGTTTTTTTATTACGTCGGCAGATTATATCTCGGTTTTGCATGTCTCAATAGAGGAGAAGGGTTAGTGGTACAGTTAATTGTATCCACAGAACAATAGCCTTATCTAGAGCATAAACATTGTCTGTTTGGTGAAACAAGCGAGACAAATTCATTTGTTTTGAAATATCCAGTTAAACAGAAATATGTCGTTCTGCAAGGATTAAAACCGATTTTGTAGGCCATATGTGTGTTTGTTTCATTCGTCGACGATTATTCCGTACGTGCTTACAAACTGGATACTATTATTGTTTTTATTCAGAAGTACAAAACAGTCCGATCCTCTTTTGTCTGTGTTAATATCTGCCACATCCTGTGAGGTGGCGAAAATTCAAAAAAGAATAACACTCATTCCAACAAATCCAGTATCCAAAAGTATTCGTATTTCAAACCCGACGTACCTAGACATTATTAGCGATATTTCAAACATACAAAATGTATTGATTTATCTCACTCGAACTCCCAAACAAGCGCTCCTGCGTACACGTTATATAATTATTTAAATGTGATGAAAAAAATAGAAAATACCGTGGACGATGTTATGAAACAGGTTTTGTTCGTTATTGAATATGCCTTGGGTCGGAACGAATTGTCAACCAGAGGTGTCACGTCAACGCATTTAACCACACAGAATTCGAGAACAAATAGTTATTCCCATATTATGATAAATTACATACTTTTTGGTAAACGCAAATTTTCATTGACGAACATAGGTATCTCCCTAAAACAGATCAGAAATCTCAATCAGTGTATTTAGTTATTTTCACAAATACAGGACAAAGCTCTATGACAAACTTTGACAGATGGTAGCTCGGTTAATTTCGAACATTCTTTCTTTTCATTTATTCCATAACAAATGCAAATATCCTCACAAAATTGTGAGGTTTGGAGTTCTTTAAGTAGAGGAATTGAAATGTGTTCACATTTTGGTTAAAGTTCATAGAGCGCTAGCTGCAGTAGATTGAATGTGTTAAAAACGACATAACTTTTTTATACTTTAAGGTATCAAATTCTTATTTTCCAACTTTTTTTACACAAAAAAGCTACACTTTATAAAACTAGCTGTCTCGCACCGTTTTCGAGATATTTGGCTCTGAAACTTCCAATGCTGTTGAAATAAATTACAGTGAAGTACCTACCTATTATTAATTTAGCGGTGAAGTTTCTTAAGTTTGGACGAAAATCAAATAATTGACATATTCCACTTGTCTTATTGCTGTCATTTGTATGCTACTGTCCATTAAGTATTATTCGTACCTAAAATTACATCTTAATTTAAATTGTATGTACATAAATGCGAGATGGAATGCCGAGACTTCCGTTTTTGGGGTTACATGAAATCAGTTGTTTATGGAGAAACTATAAACACCTGTTAAGAACTTTGGCAGCAGGTTTTAAATGCTGCAGTCATTTCGCATTAAGGATTTAAACTTTACAAGACAATCTTTTAATAAACGCGTTGATAAATGTATAATATTTTTAAAATTGGTTTAATTGGTTTTTCAAGAACAAAACTATGTGTAAACTGTTTGTCAAAACAAGATTGCAAATTTTAATTTTAAAAAAACAAGCAAAAATTTATGCATTCATTGTACAGTTACCATTTTTTATGAAATAGTTACAATAGTTTAAAAAATAAAATGTACATATAAGTTTTATAGCAAATAACAAATGGTAAACTTTTGTTTACAAAGATATTAGTCACAGACCTTGGAAAATATTTGTATCTAGACAAAGTTCACCGGTAAAAAAATAAAATACTTTGTGGACATCCAAAAACTTATATGTGGTAGCTCTTTTTTCCCGTTCATATATAGCCGGGGAGATATATTGTGGTCGTAAACATATTTTACAAATCTTCCTGTTTGTGTGTTTACCCGGCGTCTGTTGTTCGTCGTTTTTATCCGACAAACGTCAGGGCTCTGGTGAATCAAACCGGATACGTCTGGAGATTTATGTTCCTAAACAAAAATAAATCGCCATATGATCTTTGTAACTACCATTTCCATTTTGAGGATCATGGATTTCTATGCGTGTCAAAAATTTAAGAAAAAAACGTGTCGCGGTGTAATGGTATCGATCTGTTCCGATATAGAATACAATATCCAAAGTGTTTGTATAGATAGAGGGTGTAATTCTACAGCGTTAATGCATATGAGTAGGACCTTGAGGGTTGTCGTTTAGTGTAGACGATCGACCTCAAAGTTATTTTAAAATCGCGTTATCCATGAAATTTTAATACGTGCCTGTAATAATGTGGGTTGAAATACAATAAAATTCAATGAAAACATAAAATAATACAAAGTAACACCATTGACAGCATTAAATCAGTTCCCAGACCGAATCGATCCACTTCTCGGGCAATGAAGCAACAAGCCAAACGGTATCATGAAAACAAATGAAAATAAAAATTCAAACGTCCTCAGTCTTCTCCGCTGCACCCTTGATAACGATTTAATTCTGTTTATTATTGGAATTGTACCAATCTAACGATAAATTGTGTTTAACGCATAGAACTTGGTATTATATTTTACAAGTGTTCAATATTATTTTTCTACTTACAATTAGATAACGTTTTATTTCAAAGCGCGTTGACAAACATCTTTATGAGAAAAGATAATGCGACATTAGATTTTACAATAACATGTTTTGTTGGCAGTGCTGCTTATCTAATACCTACACATTAGAATATCCGTTAGGCTAACATACGCATTTGTGTATTAAATACTATGTACTAGATAAATAGTAATAAGCCGTGTCTGCGCCCAGTAGAAATCAAGTGACCATTACTTATGAGTATTATCATATTTACGTCTGCTAGCATTAGCAAACGAACGGCTTGTTCCAAATGGAACAATATGTACCATGCAGACGACGGCTTTCTAATTGAGTGCTTTTTTAGGAGATGTAATGAAAAAAAGTAGCACACAGGGTGTCTCAGGTCTCGGGCTCACGGAGATAAACTGTTCGTTAAATTGAATGTGCCTCGAAGGAATATTCATTATTAGTTAATATTAATTATTAATTTATCCAACCAAATTTCACTTGGAGAAAAAAAAAATTGTTACCTGGACTGTTATAAGTGGAAATGACTTATAGTGAACCTAAAAAAAAAAAATAAATGCGTGAGCAGGGGTGGCGGAGGGTTGATTTGGGGGGTTGAAAAGTTGTGAAAAATTGTATCATTGGGATTTCTGGCGAAAGTTGACGGCAAACAAAAAAGTATCCAATACAAAAGTTGTAGATCATGCAAAAATATACAACCTTTGTAGAGGTCACTTTTTAAGATAACCTCAAATTTTCCGAGAAAAATGCGAAAAACAGTATTTTTTTCTTATTTTTCGTTTTTATTTCTCATTTTCGCAAAAATAATTTAATTTTGACAAAACTTGCTGAGAGTATACCTTTCTGTGTCTTAAATATCCAAAATTTTGTTTAGATAAAAAAATCAAGAAGTTTCCGAGATATTCATTTTTCCGGTCTGAAACACATTTTTTTCAAAGAAAAATAATTCTACTTAGAAAAATCATCGTACAGAGTTCTGCCGGAGATCATTTTTTTCGTTTTAACACACTTTTTGGTGAAATAAAAAAATCTGTAATCACAGTTCAAAAACATGCTAAAAATGCAAAAAATAAAAAATGACTTGCAACAATGAATTTTTCAGTAATTGTTGATAATTTGTTTATATTAAAAAAAAATAAAAGCTAATTACACCATTCAATTCTACGGAAAATAAACTGTCTCATTGTTTGACCCAAAACTTTATTTTTGTACAGTATTGCTATAAACATCTAAGTCGAATTACAAATGCACTAATGATAAATTATCTCTGGATCATTTGAGATTTCAGCAATACAAAGTATTAACTGCAAAGTCTACTGTTGACGCGAAACCCGAAACCCCGAAATTTTACAAAATCGTTTTATTTTTTTTCTGGCTTTATTTGAAAACGAATTTTAAAATAAATTGCATATTGCCACTTTTTTCGCTCTATCCAATGGCGTCAACATTTTTGCAATCCTACGTTTCGTCTTCGAGGGACCATCATCAGGTTATTTTTTTTTTTAAATACGTCGCTGCTATTTTTATGACAAAATCTAAAGGTTTTTTAATTCTGAATTAGATGATATTACTATTGTAATCAAAAAAGGTTTTCATTTAAAATTTTTCTGAGTACGGCTCTGAACGCTTTCAAAATATCTATTGGAGGATGTCATAACAGTACAAAAGTCAATATAGCACACAAAATATGTATACTTTCTAAACGACATATTGTTAGGTATAAAAAATCACAACTTTTTTCTGAGCCACCCCGTATCTTTTACCGTTTCCTAGATCCTAATGCTATCCCATCCTTATCTTGGACACACTGTATATCTATGAATTCATCAAAATTAAAAAAAATAAGTACACTAATCGATCCTATGGAAAAATATTATTATATATTTTATTTATTCATTATTCGACTTATGTTTATAGTAATACTGTACAAAAATAAAAAAGTTTTGGGTCAAACAATGAGACAGGTTTTTTGGATTTTTTCCGTACTGATTGCACCATTCAAGGTGCAATCAGTTTTTAAAATTTTTATTAAATTTAAACAAATTATCAACACTTACTGAAAAATTCATTGTTGCGTCATTTATTTTTTTTAGGTTCATTATAAGCCCCTGTACCATTTCCACTTATAAAAGTCCAGGTAACAATTTTTCTTTTTTTTTTCCCCAAATAAATGAATTACATATTTCGATCGGTCTAAATATGTGGTTTTGAAGCACGTTTATTCTTTTCATTTATTCGGATAAGGTTTTCGTATATTTAATTAACATTTCAATGCCAATGTTTCTTATAATAAAAATACTTACTGAATCAGTGGTATTAGTCATTACTCATTTGAGTGTGAGTAATTTGCACACATCTAATCAAATTGGTTGTGATTTTCCGTGTAATTTCGTAGATTGGACAAGCAATAGTCCTTATAACTATGAATTTGATCACAAATTTGCTTCCATACTTTATACCTACGTCCAGTAGAATGTACAGCCGCAGATAATTGATTTTAATTGTTTGAAATTGATGGAAAATCTTGGAATTTGTACTAATAGGTTTGACATTAAATAAATACTCCCCAATTACTTTGAGGATCATTAGACAGTTGTCGACATTAACGACCATTATTGTCATGGCTATTTGTGAGGAAAGTACATACACACACATTTTTTATTCATTCCAAACATTAGATATAGAAAATTGTAATTGTCTCGAAATTCATAATGCAGAGTAAAATTTTCAAGGAATTTTTTTTGTAGACAAAAGACACTCAAAATTGGTACAGTGTGATTTTTATAATTTTTTGAATAATATCTGTGTGTTACAAGTTATTTTAAAGCTTTTCAGAGTTATTACAAAATTTTGAATTTTATTTTAAAACTTTGTATGGCCTGAGTTTATTAAGAAATTTTTTATTATTTTCCATTTGCTTTGTGAAACACCGTTACGGACCAGATTATAATTGACCTGAAACAGACTTATACTTTATTGTCACAGAATACTTCACAAAATTTATTACACCCAGACCATTTGTCGGCCAACAAAAAATTACACAACTTCTCTTCTGTATTTAGAAAAACATATATACTTTAATGTAAATCGATATTGGGAAAGAGGAAAATATTGTTAACGCTTGACGATCTGCTGTTCCAGACTTGGCGAATCGGAAGGTTCGTACTGTACGCTAGCAACTTTTCCATCGGACTCATCTTCGGAGAGTTCGAGCTCAACACCAAGCCCCTCACCTCCAGTAACGCCCTTACAGGAGAAACCCAAGAAAGTACAAAAACCCACGCACCAGAGGTACAACTCTCTGGACTACGCCAATAAGTACCGCAACCATTCAAATATGGCTATCTCGTCCATAAGGGTGAAGCCGTCGCCTAGAGAGGTAAGTTTTCGTTTACGAACAGGGTGTTACAAAAAACCTAGGCCAAGATTCTTCGAGTGAACGCAATGGGTCTTTCCTTACGCTCCTGGGTATGGGGTGCGACTGTTGTGCTGGCACATTTTTTTTTTTAACCAAAATTCACAAAAATTGTGACGGCATTTTCGACGTTTCAAATTTCAGTATCGATAAAAATCTTAATTTAACTTTGACACTCTGTATCTTGAAAAGGGAAGAGTTGGGAAGATTTTTGTCATATTTAAATATTGTTCATTTTACTTGTTATATTTATTGTATTTTCCGTAATTGGGTGTCAAAATAAATAAACAACAATTGAGATAACATTTTTTAAAATACCTTATGGCAGTTTCTACTTAAAATATATGAAGCTATTTATTTTTTTGTAACACTGCGTATTAAAAAAAAAAATGTATAAATCGTGGATTGATGGCCTCAAATATGGGTTGGTTTGTTGCAGATGAACTTTAATTTCAACCCCAATCGTCCGATGTACAGATGCGATGGCCCCCCCTACCCCCTGACCCCCGCGTTCTATAGGAATATGAACTACAATAGAACACATTACAAGAACGTTTGTAGAGTGTAGAGCTCCACCCCCCACGTCTTAGGATTAACGGTAGATGGTTGTGTTTTAAATTAAAACAGGATTAAATTTAACCACCCAAAGTAATGTTCTGTTATTAATGACTTTTTTTTTTCAAATTCAAATAGATGTTTATCGATTAGAGGAAAAATATATGTGATGTTCGTTTCGGGAGAAGTGAGAGTTGTCTGGTTGCTTTCCGGGAAGGGTGTCTGGGACATAGGACGCCTGATTTTAAGGACGTCTTTTGTTTGTAAAAATGGAGGGTGTCGTTGAGCCGTGGGTGAAATTCGTCGACGTTCTATTATTTTCACGCCTCAAACTATAAGCAATTGTTATTTGTAAAAAGAAATTTTAATAGGTACTCGTCGGTGTCTGTGTACGTTTCGTAATTTTAAGTTAGTGCTGTGATATAATTTTCTGTCATGACAAATGAAGCCATTTGCTGTTCTGCGTGTTCATTTTTTTGGGACGGGGCACGATCGAAGGTCGCGCCCCGTCTTCAGTTACGTTAAGTTCCTTGTAAGAGGTTAAGGTGAATCGGTGAGGATATTTCAAAGTTTTCTTGTCACGAAGCGTAGGGGCGAGCGGAGCGAGCGCTCTGCTGTCGGCGTCAGCTTCCCGCACGATCTTCTAAGTCATTGCTATCGTATATAATATCCCTCTGACTGAATTTTAATATTACCAAAAAGAGAAAAAAAAAGTGTAAGTGAACGGGGAGCCGATATTCGTTGGCAATATCTAATTCTTAGGTGTACGTTAAGATAAATAGTTGGTTGCTTATAGTTTGACATATACATGGTACAAATTAATCTAATTGTCCAAAATATGCATTTTTAACGTTAAATCGACAGTATTTCTCACAACGGTCCAGTCAATGGTGCGTCGTCCGGCGGGCGTTAATTGTACTGTGTACAAATGTCTCTTAATTAGAACTTACTAATATTAATTGCATACAATTGTAAATAATCTTATGACTGTGTAATTTTAATAGCGGAAGCGAGTTGTCGTATCGGCAGTTCGTGGAGTTGCCGGGTTTACCGGGTACCGTCGGCTCGCAATTTTGACTGGACCGTGTCACATATACTTTGTTCGCCGAACGGAATCCATTTTGACACATAATTGTTCGCGCATCTGCCAATTGTTGTGAAATTTTAACCGTGTTGAAATTTTGGACGATTTTTAACCGAAAGTTGTGATAAATTTTTTAATTGTAAAAAAAAGCTTTAATTTTAGTGGAAAGGTGAAAACGATAAGAATAAAACCACGAAACGGAAAATTTGTCAAGATGGATTTCGACGGGCGGAACCGTTGTAGTCGAGTTCTCGCGCCCCGTCCGTTTTCGTTTTCTGTGTATATTCTCTGTAATTTGTAAATATTGTTTCGTAGGCATTCTAGTGAACTAGAGTTTTATACACCGAGTCTTTCGTGCATGCATAGAAGGAGGCGAGTGTATATGTCGAAGGCGGACGGGGCGCGACGCGATACGAAATCGACCGCCATTTTATTTAGGATGTGTAATAACGATCTATCGTTAATCTGAAATTTAATGTGCACGTTTACAATATAGACGATTATTCTACTGTTTCTCCTCCCCCTGGAAAATATTTAGTTGGATGCTATCTTCTTAGAAAACTATGAATTGCTTTTAATTTTTATGTTTCTATGTTACGCAAATGGTTCCGGTTTATTATTGTTTTTAATGATTTGTAAATACGCCTTTGGTTTTCGATTCCCAAACTCTGAGTTCTGTTTCGGCTTTTAAAAAACACTGAAGGCTGAAAATGTCGGACTTTTTCGTGCAAATAGCAATTTTGCAGTCGATAAGTCTTATTACAAAAAAAAATCGATGTGGTCCAAACTTATGACGAATTCGCTATGTCTCGTAAGTTACTTTTAAGTTTTTTACAGTAAGGTTACGGTTACAAGTCCATGTAAATGTATCGGGTACAGAATTGTTAGAAATTGGATTTTTTTTTTTTAACGGGAAATACCTCCTACGATTAAGTGTAACAAGTAACGTTCGACTGATAATGTACAAATCTAAAAAAAGTGTGATTTAAGCAACAATTTATTTTTGTTACTCGATTAAATTTGGACAATTCTGTACGGTGCATAGATGATAGGTTTGGTTTTTAATAGTCGCTAATAATAAATTATTTGAGTAATATAAATGAAACTAACAGGGTTTTTTATATCGCAGGTCGTTTGCATTTTAAGGCGGGTTTTACGAGAATTATGTACAAGAAATTCTTATGGTCACGCAACAAGTGCAATTAAATTGAATTGAATAAAGACAATGTGATATCGTCCTGTAAATAGTCAACAGTTCAGCATTTTAAATTTATTTTATCGTAAAGTGTACATAATTCTTCACAAACTCGGAACTTTACTGTAGAAATTGTATGTAGGATGATGTTTTGATGTAATATAATATTTAAAAATATATTAATGTTAAGTAACTGCATTTAAACGGGTGTTTTATTTCCGTTTCGGGGATCCAATTGGATTTTACGTACTGAATTTGAACTTTTCGGTTAAAAAAACATTGTGCTTTACTAGTACAATTTGAAAATATGAACCTTGAACGGAACGTACTGCTATTTCTATCGGTTCGTCACGAAAACGAGTCGTAATTTTGAGTATTGTGGACGTAAAGATAAATGAGGGAGAACGCTACATAGAAATTTTAAAACGGGATAGTTTCCTATGTTTTATGTAAAAAAATTTAGAATTTCTATTTGTAAAAACGGGTATCGTCAACTACAAAAGGTAAGGTGCCCTGGAAGCTTCCCCGTGAGAGTGATTTTAAATTAATATAATAGATGTCGCCCTCTTTCATTCTCGAGAATTTTAAGGTTTTGTATATACAGAAATTATATCACTGTTCTATAAATAAAGAATGATTTATTTATAATAGTGTTCATTTTTAATTAATTTTACAAATAAAAAACAGGGTCAGTAAAATTTAAAAAAATTTTGTGAATTTTTAAGCAGCCAAGTATACACTAGCACTGTATTTTATGTTGCCTACCTAACAAACACTAGATGAAAGGAACAAAATAAATCGAAAATCTCGAAAACTGATGGAGCTAAGAAGGAACTGAATACAGTTTTGGAAAGATCAGAACTGTTATAGTTTACCTGAATTATTTCAGATTTTTTTAAAGAAAATCGATGATCTATATTGTAATGGTCCAAGAAAATTGTCGAGAAATTAAAATGTCCTTCTAAGTGCGGTTTTTTATGCACCAGTTAAGCTACATTAGTAAATACAGAATTATTGTACTGTTCTATAAATAAAGGAAGATTTATTTATAATTAAGTTGTACATTTTTATTGAATTTATCTATAATTCTCCAAAGTCGTGTACTCATTAATAGACGTCTTTTTCCCATTAAGTTATAAAAGAAAATACAAATAAAAAACAGACGATTCAAATTTTGAGAATTCTTATGCAGCCAAATATACTCTCGTACTGTATTGTATATTGCCTACCTAACAAATACTAGATGAAACTGGAAGAAAGTAAATCTTGTTAGGTAGGCAACATACAATACGTTCTGGTGTATATTTGGTTGCATAAGAATTCACAAAATTTGATCCGTCGTTTTTTTATTTGTATTTTCTTTCATAATTTAGTAGGAAAAAAGATGTCTATTAATAAGTACACGACTGTGGAAGATTATAGATAAATTCAATAAAAATGTACAACACAATTATAAATAAATCTTTCTTTATTTATAGAACAGTAATATAATTTCTGTATTTACTAATGTATCTTTTAGAAGGACACTTTAATTTCTTGACAATTTTCATGGACTACAATTACAATATAGATCATCGATTTTCTTAAGAAAATTTAGGCTCACGGAAAAATATGAAAATATTCATGTAGACAATAACGGCCCTGACCAATCCAAAACTGCATTCAGTTCCCCTCTAGCTCATTCCATTTTTGACAATTTTCGATTTTTTTTTACTTAACGGAAGAACTTGCAGAAAAACGGACCTTCCAGCGTGTTCAGCGACCCCAAGGACGTACGGTAATGCCTTTAGATGAGCACTTTAATTTTTTGACAATTTTAATGGACTAGTCCATCGATTTTCTCAAGAACTTTTAGGGCTCAGAAAAATCTGAAAAAATCAGGTTAATTATAACGGCCCTGACGTTTCCAAAACTGTATTCTGTTCTTCTATAGCTGCATCAGTTTTCAAGATTTTCGATTTCTGGAAGGAAACAAATTCAAAAATCTCGTAAACTGGTAGAGCTAGAAAGTAACTGAATACAGTTTTGGAAAAATCAGGGCCGTTATAGTTTACCTGATTTTTTTCAGATTTTTCTGAGACCTAAAAGTTTTTGAGAAAATCAATGGACAGTCCATGAAAATTGTTAAAAAATTAAAGTGTTCATCTAAAGGCATGACCATACGCCCTTGGGGTCGCTGAACACGCTGGGATGGTCTGTTTTTCTGCAAGTGCTTCCGTTAAGGAAAAAAATCGACAATCCTCAAAAAGGAATTAGCTAGAGGGGAACTGATTGCAATTTTGGATTGGTCAGGGCCGTTATTGTCTACAGGAATATTTTCAGATTTTTCTCTGAATCCAAAAATTTTCTAAGAAAATCGATGATCTATATTGTAATTGTAGTCCATGAAAATTGTCAAGAAATTAAAGTGTCCTTCTAAGTGCGATTTTGTATGCCCTGTTAAGCTGCATTAGTAAATACAGAAATTATATTACTGTTCTATAAATAAAGAAATATTTATTCATAATAGTGTTGTACCTTTTTATTGAATTTATCTATAATCTTAAACAGTCGTGTGCTCATTAATAGTTTTCTTACTAAGTTATAAAAGAAAATACAAATAAAAAACCGAGAATTCAAATTTTGTGAATTCTTATGCAGCCAAATATACACTAGCGCTGTATTGTATATTGCCTACCTAACAAACACTTACAATTAGATGAAACTGGAAGGAAACAAATTCAAAAATCTCAAAAACTGGTAAAGCTAGATAGAAACTGAATACAGTTTTGGAAAGATCGGGGCCGTTATAGTTTACCTGAATATTTTCAGATTTTTCTGTGAACCCAAAATTTTTTTAAGAAAATCGATGATCTATATTGTAATTGTAGTCCATGAAAATTGTCGAGAAATTAAAGTGCCCTTCTAAGTGGGGTATTTTATGCACCTGTTAAGTACATTTTTAACATTTTAATTGAATTTATCTATAATTCTTCACAGTCTAAAATGCAGTTTAGTGTAATTTCTGTGCTATAAATGGCGGCGTGAAAATTTGGAAATGGAAATATTTATTGTTGTTTGCACACAAGTGACCGTTCCATTTCGCTGATCGAAAAATTATGATCGATTATTTTTAAGAATCGAAAACTTGGTTATCCAATACTTTTAAAAATTTCATTCAAATTCAAATTTTTCTGATTCATTCGATGTGCTAAATCAGTACCTAGTTCATTTACATTAAATTTCTTCAAATATTTTTTGCACTCGAGAATTCACATTTCGTATATTTGCCAGGCAGCCTGGCAACTATCGAGAACCGTTGATTGAAATATTTCAGTCAACGTGAACACTAAAAGTATCTTTCATCAGGTATTCGAGAACAACCAGAACTTTTAAGAATCGAGTACTATTCGATTTTTCATCCGAGACCTCCCATCTGTCATTACTGATTGCAATTAATTGTCATTGTCAAAATAGGCATCATAAACATTTGTCCATTTTATTATTTATTTCATATTTCACATTTCTGGTATATTGTAAGAATGTTTTTTAAATAAGAATGAAAATGGTGTAACACAAGTCGCTTTTAAAATGGCTCACTCTTTACAAGGTGTTTATTCACCATTACCACAATCTTTAAGCGATTCAGACTCCGAAAAAGAAATAAGCATGGAACCTATATGCACGAATTATGTAAATAGTGGTTTGAAACATACGAAATTGGAACATTCTTCTGGACAAAATGGTCACTTGGATTTCCATAGTATAGACGATGATGTGCTTAAGGTTAAAAGAGTAAACCCGAAGATGTCGACTTTGCGTAAAGCAGCATTTATATTTTCTATTCTTCTTTGTTTCTTTCCAATAATAATCTTTTTGTGGATTTTGCCGTGTTCGAACTCCAATACTTGTCCTGTCAGTATTTCTAACTGGGAATATCAACAGGACAATATCGAATTACGGGGGAAAATCAACTTAGTCCACGGGGCATTTCAAAACAGCCTAAACCTAGCAATGATGTATAAAGGTAGTTTCAATTCTCAAAAAATGTTGAAACACGGGGTCATATCTTTTATGGGAAGTAATGGAGCTATAGCTTGGGATTTCCAGCAAGGAAATTGTCCTATAGACATGAACTGTTCCATAATAGACGTAGATGGAAATGGATTTAATGATTGTTTGGTAACCGATGAAAAAGGGCTAAAAGTAATTGAAACTGTTTCGGGGGAAGCAGTTTGGCATGCAAACAGTGATCAAGAAAAATCAATTCCTAAATTAGATATGCCGGTCAAAGTAGACGACTTCGATAATGATGGGACTAATGAGTTGTTATCAATTTATAAAAAGAAAAGTTTTCTTTTAATATCGGGGAAAACTGGTAGAGCTCTTTCTAATATAAAATTATCTCGTTCATGTACTTATATAAGCAATCTAACTTTAGTTAGTTCTGCAATAAGATATGGCTGTGAAATTGAACAACAACCGAGCAAAATATTTGAGATCTCTTTTAGCGATCTTAAAAATAAATATCATAATGCCAATGAACAACTTAGTCCAAAGGAAGTGACGGAGGCAACACAAGTTATTTATGAAACAGGTATTACATTATTCTACATACATTTTCTTTTGGTAAGTGCTTAAAAATGAACAATTATCATCGGCTAAAATGTATTCAACTCTTTAAATAATAATGTCGGTGGAATTCAAGCCCAATTACTTACTATTACTATTATTTTAGGTAACCATAAGTTGACAATAGAGAATTACGGTAGTTGTCCACATTGCCAAAGCACTATATCCTTGTATGGTTCAAATAACACAAAACTAAATGTATCGATATACGCAAATGCGTATGTCATGGCTCCACTTCCTTATTCTTTCCAGTCAACTGAAGACAACATGGTCTCCTTGAAGGGTCATATTCACGGGTTTATATTGAAGATTTGGCAGTGGAGAAACCACTTTAAAAAATTACCACCAACAGCCAGAATATTTAAGAGAAGTTTACCGATATACAACAAGACGTATTACTTAAACGAAATTTCTGAAATAGTTGTCTTGATTACTTTTAATGAGACTGATAGGCATATTATTAACGCGAGCTTAACGGACAGATATCAAATTTGTATGGAACCAGACGATTTAAACTCTTGCGAACCTGACCACGAAGATGAACGCGACTCACTTTTAATTGCAGACATGGACCACGATAATTCTCTAGAACTAATAAGCTATTCGAGCTCCTACATTAAAAGGCCGGACGAGGGCAGCGACAATTGGCATCTGGTATCGTTTGTAAAAGTTTTAAGGTTGGAAAATGAGTTACGGAAACTTTATGAATAATTAATCTAGTGAAATAATCCTTGCCAGTTATAATTCTTGCCTATTTACGTGAGTAATCCAATCTTTCACTATAGTACTGTATTTTTTTATGAGGTTAATGGTGAGTGGTATAAAATTAAATCAATATTACCTTGTTTCAACTTTAGTACTGATCACTGAATCTCGAATCGTTCTGTGCGATAATATCATGTATAATGAAACGGAAGTGTAGGTTTTAAGACTCATAAAATCTATTTTAGTTGAAATTTGTAACACTAGTATATAAATAACTACGGAGTATACAGTAAATGTAATAAAAACTAGCGTCTTCGTTTCTATAATAAATAACTTTGGTTGTTACTAGTTTAATATTGAATTGTCCCGTTTGAATCGCACATTTACGAATGTTTCTCACATAAATTATCATTAAAGTAATTGAAACACGAATATTTCTATACAGAAAGATAAACTTTTTTCTGTTATTTACATTTTAATATCTTACTCTTGCCAATTAGCCGTAATGTTTTAGATTTTCCATTTGTACAAATATAATACAGAACTTTTGTAAATCATTACAAGCCACTTAATTTTCTTTGGAACAGTAATATTTGGCAGTTAAATTTCGATGAAATTAAAAATTATTAAAACAGTAAGAAACACGGCTGATGATTGGAGTAATTTTTCATGACGATTCATTCAACAAGCAGCGATCGCATTATCTCGGGCGTAAGCGCAACGTTTTGTCATTGTTCATTGTAAACGAATCATTAATATTGGTGACGCTACGATTTAGTTGACAGTACCAGTCGTGCATTGTTGGGTTGCCTAGGCTCAGCGTTTACATGGCTTGTAATCATTTACGAAGGCTCCGTCTTTCTTTTAATATACGTTAGGGAGAAATAGGTTTTACATTATGTGGAGGATTTCTATGCTCGTTTAACTTTAGTGATCTTAGCATACTTTTTGTATTTCCTTTATCTCAGAAAAAGAAGTTATAGAAACAAATTTCTTACTATTCAACCATTCAAATATTCAACTATTATATACACATGACCAAGAGGCAGCAATTGTGCAAAATTATATTTTATAAAGCACTAGCTGCACTCCCAACATTATATATGCACTAAACTCTGTTATCTAGATCTAATCTATCTAAATCTTCAGTTATGTAGTTATTTTTGGGAATTAGATCAATTTTTTTATTAATGTAGGGATGTTTTTTTATTGTATCGTAATTATTTCGTAAAACATAAAAATAGTAATTATATGACTGTTATCCATTTCTAATTAAATAGATATTTAAACAAATATGCTTCTATCAACAGTAGAAACAAGTGATACAATTTTAATGGTTTTCATTTAAAGCCCTATACTTGTTCCTATTTTTAAACTTTTTTTCGGTAATTGGGTGGTTACGTATTCATACATGTGATATGTGTCAAATATATTTAATGTACTGTTACTTACTCTTCTTTCAATTGTTTCTAACGCTAAATTTATTCTAGCATTTTTCATGTCATTTTTCTGAGAACAAGTATTATTGTAAATTTATAAACAGTTAAGACGAACTTATTTTTCTAGTTATAAAGTGGTATTTGTCACGTTTTTCTCTCTTATATGTAATATTCTGAATATTTTTCATAAATGTGATAAAAGTTCTAGTCGCCCTAATATGTGTGTTTTATTTCTACCCTTATTATAAGATTATAATTTAATAATTCTTTTGTAATCTAGTAAATATATTATTTGAGCATTTGTAGTTAATTTTTAAGTTTTGGACTGTAAAAAATGTGCATATTCACACTAGAAAATTAGTTGGAAAAAATATTTGACTTTACCCCTAAAATATTTAGAAAAATTATCATTGATTTCATAAGCGACGCTTTTTATGGCACGCATATTTAAATCTGACTGCATTAAACGTGCTGCCCCCTGGTCGTGGATCGCCTAATTTCCCTTAAACCACAGGGTACTGTCAACTAGACGCACCCTCTTGTTCTTACCACTAGATACCAGCACTGACTTCTTTTAGATTATGAACTGCCAGCTTTCGTGTGCGTTTCGTAAATTCAATAAAATGAACTAAAATGCTTGTTAAGAAGGTAAATGACTGCTCCAAAAGTTCGAAATTTGTTAATTACCCTTACTCATAGACCGCATCTCAACAGCTGACGTAAAATACGGTGTGTTCATTCTTCACTAGTTACTGGATTTGTCCACTGCAGGTTACCAACTCCACTCAACAAAAATGCGTTTTACTGAAATTCTACTGAAGCTAATTAGGGAACGCACCCTTGAAAATGTTCAACGAAACCGCCTATGCGCAAGCGGCATTTCATTCTGCTCATTTAATTATAAGTATAAATTGTTTAGAGAATGCAGAAACGTTATGCAGTATATTCAAAGCGAAAACTCGCTTGTGAGCCATCTCGAGAATCTCAACTATTTTAATAAATATATATATATATATATATATATATATATTTTATCCCTAACACACTTATTAATTAGTTTGAAGCACCTCATCGAATATAAAAATTACACCTGTGTATGACATGATAAAAATGAATTACTTTACCGCTAGTTGAAATGGTACGTTGTAAAAAATAGTTAAAATATTGGTAATTACAGTTTGTAATGTTGGTACTACTAGTACATCCCAGTTCCGGTTAAATAAATAGCAAGAAAAGCGTCAGAAGAAAGGGCCCTAGCCGGCGGGGCCCAGCCAGGACAAAAGGAGGTCCCACAAAGCGCCTACACCGGCCGCAATTGCGGTCGGGGTAGACGACGGATGGGGCCCACCTACGAAGGCTGTCCAGGCCTACACGAGATGAGGCAGGATAAAGAGGGATAATCCTCCTCGATCCCAAATCATTGAGGCCAATTTCTAGCCATGGAATAATGGCGGTTAAATAAATTTAGAGTGTATCCTCCCTATCCTGTATCCTAGGTATGTGATCCAAGATTGACAAAGAAGTTAACCAGCTTGGACTTTCAAGTTTCAAAAATCAACAGTTTTTTAATTACGCCATTGGCTGTTGGACCTTAGAAAATCGAAATCGGTGTTGGATATTTGACGCTTATACTAATCACAACACAATCCATTTATTAAAAACATCATTGGCCTTCACTGTGACTGATAGAATGAGATGGAATTTATTATTTTACCAAAAGGAACGTTAGTTTGGGGGTTCCCCGTCATCAGTATCCGGATCCGGAATATTTAGCTTATGTTAGCATATTTTTTGGTGTGTGTGCATATTTTTGTTCGTATTCGCGTTCCCGAGAAAGTAAGAACTAAAAATAAATCTTATTTTAGCGACGTTGTAGGTTAAGTTAGTGCTTTAAAATGGGTAAAAATAAAGGCAAAGGCAGAAAAAAATTTGTAGCTTTTGATTCAAACAATTTGCCATCACAATCTGATAGTGATAAGGCGACAAGTAAGACCAGCAATAAAAATCCTAAAAATATTAAAAGCAATAGAAATGATGATACCACTCCAATAGAAAAATATTCTGTGACACTTACAAGTGATATTGAATCGTCTGCTGATGTATCAACGACTTCTAATAGTACTAAAGGAGACGAAAGTACTGATACCTCTACCAAATTATGTGGACCATTGGATGAAAGTGTTTTAGATGAATTTCCGACTATTAAAGATAATAAACAGAACATTTCAAAATGTGAAAATGAAATAAGTTATGGAAACCATGAGCCGGAAAAAGTCAAAAATGGAATTCAAAATTTATCTGTGAGCTCTCACTCTGAAGATTCGTTCAATAAAAATTCTACTCAATTTGAAAGCAGGGGTAATAATGAATATAGAAATTACAGAAAAAGTTTTAATAATGCAAAACGAGGGGGCGGTAAGGGAACCCCATACCAGGATTCGTCAAACTTTTACAAGGAAACATATGATGCCGATACGTCCACCAGGAGGAGACCTCAGGGAACTGGTTATGATCGTCGAACCAATGTAAATAATACTAATTATAATGTACAACAATCACAACAAAAAACTAAGGATCCGTGTGATGGTGAATCTTTCCAGTATGATCACAGAAGAGGTATTAATACCCGTCAATATTCATGCAGGTACGATAAAAGAAATGACTCAGCCAATCTGGGCGATGGTGAATCTTTTCACAGCAGTGGTACCCAGTATGAAGGCAGAAGAGGTAATAATACTCGTCAATATTCAAACAGGTACGATAAAAGAAATGAAACAGCCAATCAAGGCAAATATTTGAAAGACAAAAGTGCAAATTACAAAAACTCTGCACCCCTTGAAGACTTATCAAACTTTGAAACACCACTAAATCCAAATGTACCTGAAACACAGAAACCGGTATCCGGAATCTGGGATAAACCTGTTGATACAAATAAAGAGAGGAACATCGGACAGTATCCACCACCGGGAAATAAGAATTGGGAAGCTCAATGCTGGGATGATCAGAATTCCAATAATCAACATACAGAACATCATTCAAGTCAAAATTTTGCGGAAACGGAAATTATTAACCCTGGCAATATAAATACAGATAGTAATAGTGGAACGAATTTAGTACCGGAAGATGAGGATTGGGATGCAGAAGCTGACGGTTATTCCAATAATCAGCATACAGTAATACAGTCAACCCAACATTTTTCAGAAACAAAGTCGAGCGACGCAGGTCAGTAACATTTAATGGTTTTTATTAGAAACTTATAATTTCCTTCATCACCTTAATGTTTTCATTTCCCAAGTACTATTTCTAAAAGTAAAGCAAAGTTTATTGTTATTCTAGTATACCTAACATACATGTTTTGACGACTTCAGCTTATTTCTTATTTATTATGTTTACGTCTAGAAATTGTAAAATATATTGTGAAGTACATACTTACAAGAACCCTGAAACAATAATGTGAGTACTTTATCAAATACGTACAAGACGAATTTTTGTTATTTGCAGAGATTAGCTATCAGTTTTTTTTGTTTTTTGGTAAAAAAAGTGTGTCATAACTTCAGTTGGTTATTTCTTTGAGTTATTTTCGACCAAAAACTATAATAAGCAAACGTTTGTGAGATAGGGGATGTTTAAGTTTAGAAAATATCACATTTACTTAGATGAAAATTGGGCTAATTATATAATTAATTAAAGGCAAAAATGAATAGGTATGCAGCAAGTAATATTGTTTCTAAGAATGAAGCATCTTTCACTTTATTTGAAAAATGAACCATTTTTTAGTTATACCTAATTTAATCATTGATAGTCCAAAAAAATTTCTGTTAATCATTATTTCTTTTTTTACTTGAATTTAATCTTAAACAAAAAGCATATTTCATGAATTGTCATATGTCGTTTAATATTTCAAAATTTAATTCAGGTGATTTTTTTATTGAGGTAAAACCAGACATGATTTTAATAGTGTCATAATTTTGACAAAATAAATTATTCAAAATATCTTTAATTCAATACGAACAGTTTATGTCAATTGTTTTCTTAGTTAGAAACCAAAAATTCTTCATAATGTAGATAGATCGTATCACAACAGATAATGCCAAGACAAAGAGTATATACAATTGTATATTCTCGTTGGCCAAGAGTCACTGAATAGATTATATAATCTATCTTTTGAAGCAGGTAATAATTGGTTGGAACATACACAGAACGATTCATTCAAATACACACCACATGCCGCAGTTGATTTATTTGAAAACAATTTTCCTGAAAAAAATAAACGTACTGACAACTGGAGAAGCAATAATAGGAAAAGCTTGCCTGCTATGCCCTCGCATCGTCAGGATACTACAAAGAGATTCAGCGAGGGAAATAAAGACGACTGGAACAAAGAAAGCCCAAGGAACAGAAATATCTTCGACAAACGTTCTGAGAGCACCGACAAGGAATACAAAATGTTTCTTGAGGAGGAGAGGAGGAATGAGAAAGTCATATTCGTGAGAGTGGAGGAAATTCAACAGGATTTGTTTGAAATGCCAAAAGATTATTCCTTGGGCCATTGCGTCGCTGAAGATATGAGGATGGGAAGCGGTATTGCCGTTACTTTCAAGTAAGTAATTATTAAAGATCTTGTATCAGTTTTGTCAGTAGTACATATTTAAGATAAGACGATTCACTGAAATTTATATTTGTTCAAAGGAAAATTTTAACTTTAAAAATGTATTCCCATTTTAGGAGGGAGTTCAAGCAGATGGAGTGCCTCTTGGATCAGAGACAGAAACAGGGTGGTCTTGCAGTGTTGGAGGATGAAGGTAAAGAAGGGACTAGGTACATTTATTACCTGATCACTAAACGTGAGTCGACCGGAAAACCGACCTACGAAAAGTTCTGGTCTTCGTTGCAAAAGATGAGGAACCATATTAGGGAGAACGACGTGAAAAAACTGGCAATTCCCCGACTGGGATGCGGCCTGGACAGGCTGGAATGGGACCGGGTGAAGCACATGATCGAGTTTCTGTTCAGAGACGTAGACGTGAAAATTACCGTCTGCAATTTCCAACAGGTGAGTTTTTCATTCGTTGACATAAGTGAATACGCCAAGTCTTGTTTAACTTTTGATTACGGTCTGTAACGTCACATTGTTGCAGAATTATGGACAAACTAAACAAAAGTTGCAAACGACCACCCATGCCGATAAGTCAAAGAAGTCAAAAACAAAGAAAAAGAAAAAATAATTCCTACTTGTATTAATTTTTGTCATAGATTGTTGTCCAAATATATCTACTGGTAATACTGCACCTAAAAATAAGGGAATACCGATCGTCGTTTATGATGAAGTAGATACTTTTCATTGTAGAAAATATTTACAATTATTTTAGATCATTTACAACAGTAATATTTGTGGTGGGGGTCAGGTTTAGCGTCCAACTTCATCATAAGTGACTTGTACCTACTCACTGCCAAATTGTAACCTGTAATGTATCTGTTGTTAGTGTGAGTGCCTTACGAACCGAATATTAGATCGTCGAATTCCAATTTGTTTGTTCTTATTGTAAACGTAAAGGACTAAATACGTTTGTTAACGCTGTTTGTAGCATATTTGCCAGGTTGGATGTGAAAAAACATTTTTATATTAAACGCATTTGACTTGTGGCTCGTGATCGCTAGCAAGCAAAATTTGCTTAAGTAGCTCTGTTGCGGGGTAACGGACTTGTGTAATTAAGTGGTCTTCCTAGTGTAGTCGCTATAGCAGATTTTCCAATCAGTTTAAAAGTTTTCGAAACAAACTGGCAAGTGATTTGTAACGGCTACGAGGAAAGCACATGCGGAATAAAAAATGTATATGTTGATTGATAGAAAATATGTAACAAGACCTCTAATTATAGCTTTGCTTTGGTTCTCTATTTCTGAACAGTCCAGAATCATTGCAGAACTATAAACACAATAGACAAAATTCTGAACGATTCGGAACTATCCGGAGTTATTTGAAAACCAGAACGCATTACAAAAATATACTAAGTTCGAATAAAACCAAAACAAACATTGCGAAATTCTGAACCGTTCAAGTCATTTTTAATTTTTTTTTCATTTTTGAGCATGTTTTTCAACTGTGATTACAGATTTTTTTATTTCATCAAAAAGTATATGTCAAAACAAAAAAATGATCACCGGCAGAACTCTGTACGATGATTTTTCTTCGAAAAAAAAAAATGTTTCAGACTGGAAAAAGACACAGAAAGGTATACTTTCACCTAGTTTCGTAAAAATTAAATTATTTTTGCGGAAATGAGAAATAAATAAAAAATCAGAAAAAAAATCTGTTTTTCGCATTTTTCTCGGAAATTTTGAGGTTATCTTAAAAAGTGACTTCTACAAAAGTTATAGATTTTTGCATGGTCTACAACTTTTGTATTGGATATTTTTTTGTTTGGCGTCAACTTTCGCCAGAAATCCCAATGATACAATTTTTCACAACTTTTCAACCCTGCTCATGCATTTATTTTTTATAGGTTTATACCTTTACCATTTCCACTTTTTTTTTCTCCAAGTGTACTTTGGTTGGACTATTTATATAACGGCATGTTTTAATCAAACACAATATTTTCCGTAATCACTTTGCAATCCTTTGGCCATCATATTGTTCATTCTATCGCCCATCAAATTTAACTAACGTAAGGCTGTCTCCTTTTCCCCACAGAGCGAAGAATCTCCTGATAAATCCCTAAATTATACGTGCAAGGTAGTAAACGTAGAAAAGTCCATTGCCGATATCGAATCAGAAACGATCATAATGTATCTATCTTCGGAGGACGGGCATATATCGAAGGAAATGGAACAACTACAGAAAAAATTTTTCTTCCTCGACCAGTTCAGACGTTCGCCGAAACAGTTGGGAGATGTTATAAGATACGAAGACAAATGTAAATACTACATATTATATGGATGCATTGTTAGAAAGACCAGCAAGGATCCCTTCAGCTTTTCAAGCTTATTCAAGTGCATTTCACAGATCAATAAGAGTAACAGGAAAGATAAATATGTATACGTAGGTATACAGGCTATTAAAGATGATAATGATGATTTGCTAATGGAGAAAATTTTAAGTCTTCTGAAGAATTATCTGAGTAAAGTCGATATATATGTTTGCTGGTCCGACTTGCTGGATAAGATGCCTATTTCCTATCGAGACTCTTAATAGGGCTTTATTCATATTTTTCTACCAGAGGAACTCATGAAAATAGCGATAGATACATTACGGAATGTTTTTAATAATCAATTTGTAGGTAAATAACTTAAGTTAGTTTTTTAAGTTTTTCGAAAGGGCAAGTCAAAATTCCTTCCGCAGCCTTAAAACAATAAAATGAAACAAGTTCTTATGAACAAATAGTTCAAAGATCTTCATTGTCCAGAATTAACTTTTTTTTAGTACAATTTCATGTAAATATAAAATGTTTTGTGACTGTGTAAAGTAGAAACTTGCGGATTGTCGCTAAAAATGCATTGTTTCAGGGAAAAACAGGTTTCAATTTTCTGCTGCGGTTTCAGTTATTTTGGTGTGTTCGAGTTATTAAACGTTATATTAGATATTTTTTAAGATTTTATTCAAATGTTAGATTCTAGTAAACTGAAAATAGTTCCATGAAACAATATTTAGAGACCTATATTACAGCTGATATTCTTTCGAATGCAGTTAAGTTGGTATAAATCGTAAAAAATAATCAATACAGCTGCAAATTTTACAGAAAAATGATGTTTGATCAACTTTTTCTACTTATTTGCACTCGTATAATGACGGATGGAAATATTCTCAGTTCGCAGTGAGTACAAACGAGTATAAAATGCCTCCAAAACCGGTAACGGCAGTAGAAAATTGAAATCTTTTTTTCTTCTGGAAAGATGCGTTTCAGAGATACGAGTATATCCAACAGTTTGAAAACCATTGAAAATTTCAAATATGCCACAATTTGTGCTTTACACGGCGACATATTTTTTTTTTATAAAGTTTTTTATGAAATTTGCATGCAACTGGCTTTTCGTATTCACATAAAATTGTACTTGATGGAGATGTTAGTTCTCCGTCAAATTAGGAAAAAATTAAAAAAAAAAGCATCTACTTTAGAGAACGGCGTTTGTTATGTTGTTTTGCAGAGTTCGCCGTTCACGAATAGGGAGTTAATTTTGACTCGGCCTGTATTCTGTGGGGATAAAATATTTATCTTTATATATATCTTGTAGTGCCGAGGAATGAGAAACTGTTTATTAACAATAATTCCAATATATCTTATTAAGTAAATATAAAACTTTCAAAATCAGGAAATTCGCCTTTAAGGATGAACATTTTCGCAGCTTCTCTAAAAACCTTCTCGATCTATACAGAAAAGTGCACTTTTTATAAAATAGTAATGAGGCAGTTTGTTTAGACGTGTATTTTGAATTTCCCGTCAAAATCAGGATGCTTTATGGGATTATAGATATAGCTTAGATATACTTTCAGCCTTACCTTGCTTTGTTTATATTTACATTATAACTAATATCGATATATGTACGATTTTTTTTTAGATTAATAAATATTACCTATTTTATTTGTGTTTTAATGTATGGAGTGAATGACACATGCACTTTTCTTGAATACGATTGAAGATAATGAAACTTTTGAAAACGGTTCCAGAGACCGTCACTCAATTAGCATAAAAAAATATAGTTCCAATAATTTTTTTATATAAACTTTCTATGTGGCAATTTTTTTTATACTTTCTGTGGGCGTCTATTTGGGATGTTGGCTGGTATTCGGTAATTGAACTTACACTGCTTTTTTAAATTTTCATATATTAAACATAATTCTACAACCAAGGTCATTCTTTGACACTTTGACCACAGAACATCCCTATCTTTGAGCAACAACAAAACTTCTACCAATCAGAACACGGAACTAAACATTTCTACCGCACGGTCCGTAAAAAAGGACTCTTTACGGACCGTGCCTCTACCGGACAAGCCTTAACTAAGCTCAGTGCTACCAACTACACTGCCAACCTACTTCAAGGCGGCAAATTTAAATAAATTGCCTACATTTCGATGATTTTCAATTCAAGTTAACGTTGAAAATCATTTCTGAAATTCCCACATTTGACATACAGGGTGTGCCAAAAATTAAAGCCAAGTTGACGAATGGTGATGGACTGTCCAGCCAGTAAACTAAATTCGACCTAGATAAAAGTCTCTTATAGGCATTTTTTCCGTTTTAAAGTCTTTTTAAATGATTTTTTTAATCGCCGTATTTCGACGGTCAGTTGATTTGATAAATTCGTTGACCCTAAATTATTCAAAATACTGCAAATAAAAGCAAAAAAAAACAAAATATTTACATGGTACAATTAATAATATGTATAGTCTTTCTTTGACGCAGCAATTCGGCATTGAAATATTTGAAAATCTTGTTCCCGTATTTATTTAGCCATACCCACATACAGGTCTGGTCGAACTAAACTTGGAGGTGGTAGAGATGTATACGCCCAGTTGAAGAATGCGAGCGCGGGCAAACAAAATACAAACACAGCTGCATTGGGCCACTCGGCAATAAATCTGAGCTGTTGACAAGTGGTTGACAAATTACCCAGCAGTGCAGTGCAGCAATGAGGAATTTGGTGTGAATCAGGCAATTGTAATTTATTATAGACACCACTTTTCAGGAAAAACATTTGCCGAAATATGTTGACTGCCCAAATATTTTTAGTTTATTTCAGATGCAAGAGAACAATTTACAAGAAAAAACAGTTATTTTGGACAAGTTTATTAAAAATCACGTGATTCGCTTTACAAAACATACAGTACTAAATAAAAATACTTAACACGAATAAAACAAAGGCACATTTTGACATACGCATTTGCACGAAATAAAAAATTAAAAATTGTTCTAAACGTTGCTTACCCTTTCAAATCTTAACATTATCTAATATTTTGTCCCAACTAAAGTCGGCAGTTTCGGGCAGTCTTATCAGATTCGCTTCGACGTAGGGCAAGATTTGTTTAAAGGTTGAGTAGCCTTCGAGTGTCGAAACATCCCCAACGATTATTAATTTATGTTTCGCCCTCGTTATAGCTACCGTCAGTCTTCGTTTGTCTTCCAATATTTCGTACTAAAAAACAGGAAATATATTTTTATACAACATTAAAAACTGAAGAAAAGAAGATTGTTTATCTTCCGAGAGACAGACGTAATCTCAAAATTTCTTGTTATACTTGATGTCAAAAATGAAGCACATTTATGGTACAAGTTATCTAAAAATGTTTCCTATACCTCCAATAAATGAAGATATTTAAACAAAACATATATAAAGTAGCATTTAAAGTGAAAAAATTTGTTTTTAACATTGTATCGAGTACACAATATTGACCTATTTCCTAAAATCATTTAAATAGTTGTAAATTTACCTGAATGTATCTTTAAAATAAGTTAAAAATAATATTTTCGTAATTAAATACTAGACAGCGCTATAGTCCGCAGAGTAGTAGTCCCGCAATATAAATAGTTTAAAAATGGAATTTTCACTAGAAAAAATTCTCAGAAACGAGATTTCCAAGGACAAACAAAATATTCTTACATTTAGACGAGAAAGCATATCTTCATTTTTCAGAAATCGTTACACATTGGACATTAAACGTCTTACCTTATTAGTGACTTTAGGAACAGAAACATCCCTCGATTTCGAACTGGAATAAATTATCACATTTTTATCTTTACCCTGAAACTGATCAACGGTACTAATGTCGACACTGTCTGTTTGTAGTAGAAGAGATATTTGTGCGACTTGAGCCCTAAACGTAGCGATTACCCCTATGTCGTGCGACTGAATCCCCGCCTAAAAAAAAAATCAAATTGCCGATATTTTATACCTAATACCAAGGTTTTAGTAACGATTTACCTTCAACAAAGCCTTCACTAAATGGAAAACCACCGCTGCCTCGTAAACGTTTGCACAGCTCTGACCTTCACCATTTTCATCGGTACTTTTATGTGTACGCCAAGGAACGACGTGCTGAAAATTCCACACCGGTCCGGTATCCAAGAACTGTACGGCGTTTTCCATGGATTCATCCAAAGCTTTTACTAACCAACGATCGGACGTCAATTCTAGGGCCTGAAAAAAAGAGTGACACGTAGAATCTTTGAAGGGAATTTGTTTCTTATAATACCTCTGGTTCGGGCAGTTTCAAACTCGCATTGGCAACACTATCGTTACCGATTTTAAGCTCTCCGCGATACGTGACGTGATTCGCTAAGGCCGTTATAGTCGCGTTCATCCGGTAATTTAAATTTAAGGCTATCGCCGCTTCTTTGCTGTACAGCCTTTCGAATAAACTTTCGGACATTCCCATTTCACTAGAAATAAACATAGAATTAAATTTAAGCTTGCTCTTAATACGAAAAAAACTCACATCGCGTCCCTGCTTCTAATGACAGCCGGCAGCTGATTCGGATCTCCTATCAGTATGAAAGTGTTTGCTGAATGAAGAGGTCTAATAACGGAACTCTGGACCACTTGGGTGCTCTCGTCTACGATACAAATGTCCATAACTCGTTTCGACAGTATCGGATGACCAGATCCTAAGCACGTCACGGCTACGACTTGCTGAAAGGGGTGTTTTTACAAAAACTACTGAAAATTCACATTTTTCGCAACGTCGAATATGATTTGACCCCAAACTTGCAATTGAAACAATTTAAACCGTTATTAAATATGAAAAAATGTAGGAAAAGCCTTAATAATAGTTCGCCGTGCAAGATTTAAAATAATATACCACTTACCGCGCTGTTATAAACTTCCGCAAGCTGTTCTGGCGTAGTACAGTCTTTCGTAAGCCAATACTCCGAATGGTCTTTCAAACTGGGATGTATCCTCGACTCGGAACCTAACCTTAACAGTTTGACGCCATAACTGACGAGCCGTGTACACACATTGTCGACAGCTGAGTGAGTGTGGCTCGTTATAAGGACAGACTTACCTAGTTCCACTAGTAACTGGATCAAGGCCACTATAGTGGCGGTTTTTCCTGTAAAGACGTCGCAAATCAAACGTTGGGAAAGCGAAAAAAGACATATTTCTTTACCTGTGCCGGGCATCCCTTCGATGAGGAAATAGTCGTTGGCGGCTATAGCCTTCAACACGGCTCTCTGTTGGACTACGTTCAGCCTCCTTAATATCGCTTTTCCCTTGGACCCGATCACTTTAGGCAGACGAGACTTGAACGTCGGAGGTATCTTGTCCACTACTATTCTCCTCAACTTTTCCGCTCTATCTGTTAACCCCAACAACAACGTTAAGCTCGTCAGATTGAAAGACTGTATAGAACTGGAATCGTAACTGTCTATATAAAAGGTCTGGTCTCGATATTTTTTATTTAAGTCCCTAAAAAAAGTAGAGTAAGTTTCGAGAACGTTTTAATATCAATTCGCTTACCTGTCTAGCGTTACAGTGATGGAGTTTGGCGTTATATCTGTCACGAAGCCTGCCGATATCGCAGGCCTACTCGCAACGCTAACGACGACGTAATTGCTTTCCTTTATTCCGTGAGAAAAGAAGTTGTAGCCTGGTTCGTCATGAATCCTTACAAAAGTATGCTCGATTACACCATTGCATTCTTTTCCGATGTGCGACACTTTTAAGTTTATGATGCATTTTCCATTACTTTCCCTAAAATATAGAAAATAAGTTACATTTTTTTAATTAGTATTCGATTTTGTCGTACCTTTCCTCTGGAGGCAAAGTGTATATTTCTCTGAGATCCTTCGAGCCCTTTTTTGTGTTAGACTCGAGTGCTAACAAGGACACCCAGTGTATGAAGTAGTTGAGGTGTGATTCGTCCAAGTAAAAGAAAACTTCATCCTGTATATTTTTTAATGTTTTCATCGATGAAATATCCTCATTATTGTATCTGAAAAACCAGTTGAAAATTTTGCGACAGAAAAACATTTTTCGATTGTAAATTATGCACCGTCTTCAAGTTATATTAAAAATGGTTTAGACGCAGGGTAGTCAGAATTAGAAAAAAGTTGTTATCATCGGCGTTTCACCATTTGCTGGTAAAAATACCGTTGAAAATAGCAGATTCATTTTTAATGACTGTCACATTGACTTTTTCAATGAAACTTTGAGTAGTTATATCTTTCACTAGATTTCCATGCACCCCGTCGAGCGATGCGACCTGAGCTGAACAAATCACAAATTTATTCCAATTGAACCTAAACGTTTCTTACTATTTTCGTTCTTCAATAAAGTCACCACCTAGAGTGTGGATTCAAAACAGTAAAACTAACGTTTCCATAAAAACGTACAGAAAAAGTACGAAACGATAAAAATAAAATAAAAAAGGGAAAATCGAAAAATTGGGTTTACTCGAGATATATCACAAAACTAAAAAAATGTCCGAGATCTATGTTATATCAATAGTCCCTTAATAATACAGCTTTTTTTCTGAACCTCTCACCCTTTTCAATATTCTCACGATAAATAATCTATCACAGTGTATTCAAATTATGTGTCAATTTAGATACTGTAGGAACGCTTACTTGGCAAAGGCTGTGCAAATGACATTGTAAGGGCATTTCGCACAACTCGTGTGGTTGATGGGCTCCGGTAGATCAGGCGGAACAAGTCTTTTCCTTTTAATTTTGTCGTCTTCCACTATTTTTGGCTTTCTAGTCAAATAATAAGCCAATTCATTCCTCATTATTATTATATCCCTCTTTTCTTTCTGTGTGGGTGGAATTTCTCTTAATACCCCATCCCTTCGAAAAAAGTAAGAATTTTTATTATTTTACGTACATTATAATTATTACAGAAGCAACAATTTTTCTCGACTCTAATTTCTTAAGTTTAAGTTTACATTCTGCAACATTATATGACTTTCTAATCAGATAATTTAATGAAGAAACATTTTACAAAAATTCTGAATTTTGAAAAACAAATTTATGTTGCTAAAGGTTATATGTAGCCTTTCTATAAACACGTCCCTCATTGAAACATACACACTATACGTCCTAGTAATTAAAAAAAAATACGAATAAAACTATATAAAACTTGAAAAATACATAATAAAACGAACATAAAAAATATAGCTGATAATATTTAAATGTGTTAAACGGTTGTTGCCAAACCATATCTGCCAATGAATTTACTGATTTCGTCACCAAATGTCACAAAACCCTTAAAATTAAAGAAACTGTCTTACTTGAGATACAGCAGCAGCCCAGAAGGAACTTCGTAGCCCAATTTATTCATCATCATAATGTACATCAAAACTTGTCCTCGGTGTTCCAAAGAAACCGAGGCTCTCCCGGTTTTTACTTCGAGGGGCATCAAACTGTGGTCGGTTCTCACACTTACGTCTACTTTTCCTTTAATCCCCAGCTCAGGGCACCAGATATTTTCTTCTATGTCGTCTATGCTGTTAATTGTACCCTTCCAGTCTTCCTTGTTACGCTTGAGATTCGGCTGCCTTTTCGTTTGTATATCTTTGACGTACATATGTATAAAAGACACGATCTTCGGAACATATTTCATTAGTTCTTCTTCGATTAGTTCTATCGTTAAATCACAGTCATATATACTTGAAATCTGGAAACGACACGTTTACAGTAATAAGGTATTCACAAAAATTTAGAACTTACAGTGTTACGATTTTTGAGGAGATCCTTTGCAATCTTCTCGATTTCTTCCTGGTTATGAATCTTATTTTTCAAAACGTGTTGCAATAAACTGTGTACCAGACTTCCCACAAGCATGGCTTTGTTGGCAGGGTCGAAACCGTGGAAGCAATCACTCAATACGCTCTTTCTCTTACACCACAGTGTATCTACAGATTATACATACTGGTACGACAAAAAAAAACAAAACTGGTGCGATACTCACTGACTACGCTTGTTGCAGAAATCAGAAAATCGGGCTCATATACAACCAAACCATAGTCGTTATTAACAATCCATTCAACTTCATTTAGTTTTTTAGCCGATATGTGAAGGGTATCCCCGATGTTCAGCTGAGAATGCATCCTTAACAATTAAATATAGGAATGTCATTTCAAATATATTATAAAAGAGAAATCTTACCAAAATCCTTCCAAGTTGCAAAGAGCTTGCTCACCGTTTTTAGTTGATTTTAAAGTTATTACATTTTTTGTTGGAAATGCATTTATATTCATTATTTTGCAGTGTTGAGATTCCCTCAGATCCAGTTTATATTCAAGTTGGGACTACATAAAAAAAAATATTTGTACAACAAATAGATTCTTTTATTTTGCATAAATTGTATAACACAAAAACAAGTTATTATCTACTTTGAAAAAATTAATAGATTCTGGTCTTCTGAACCTAAGAAATACTGCCTCTATTTTCACTTACGGGTATTAACATTTCCTCATTCCATTCGTCGCTAAAACTAAATTCCCAATTCGGAATATTTACGTTATTCTCTTGTCCTTTATCAAGATTATTACATTTTTCAGGGGAGACCTCTTTTGCATTCAATTTCAGAGATTTATTATTTCCTTTACGGACTTTCGAATCACTTATTTTTGCCTGTTTTGATGAAGACGGTTTTTCATTTATACAGTCTGAAAAGTTTAATTTTATCTTTACTTTTGTGCTTGGACTTTGGGAACCATTACAAACATTTGCGTGACTTTTTGTAGGTGTCAATTCATTCCGATGTTTGGCTTCTAAAGATCTATAAAGATAAAAGACTTTACAACGTACATAATTTTGAATATTCTCAAGCAAATTTTGCCTACCCCGGTACTCCCTTTGCTTAAGACTAGGCATAATAAATAATACTTGAATAAATTTATACTAAACTTACTTGGCAGAAGCTGTAGGTGAAATATATTTTAAAATCGAACTTTGTTTCTTTTCACTACAACTAACAAATTCCACTTCTGGATCATTTTTTTGACTTTTGCTTGGAGTTATTTTTACAAAACTCTCTATTATTTGTACATTAAATTCATTCACATTATTTGGAGATTTATCAAATAACTTCTTAGGTGTCTTTTTGGTTTTAATTGGAGTTTTTCCTGTTAAATTGCTTTGGTTTGCATTTGCCGAGTTGTTACTTTCCTTTGGAGTCCGTTTTTTTGGAGTCGATTTTCGATTTACTTTATTTTCAATAATTTCATCAACTTTAGAAACTAATGTATGGTTTTCTTTAGATTTTTCAATAGTATCTTCATTGAACAACATCTTCTTTGCAGGACTTTTTATTTTGTCCATAAATCTCTCAAATTTCTTTTCGGGTGTGTAATATTCGATTAGAGCCTCAGCAGACAATAGTTGTTCCGGGCTTTTGACAGATATAACTGAATTATAAGAACTTGCAATAGGTTTAGCATTTTTGTCTTGTTCACTTATGCTGGGTTTTCTATCTGGAGTTAATTCTCTTTCAAAAATTATATTTTTTTTCTTTTGCGGTGGACTGAGTGTGTTGATATCGTCTCCCTTACGTTTAGTCACTACAGCTGATTTTCTACAATCTTTTAAATCTTCTGTACTGGTAGAAGATACATCCAACTTTTCTTGTTTAATAAAAAAGTTAGTAATTTTCATATGGCCTTTTACTACCTGTAAAATTAAAATTGGTATTTATTTTAATATTTAATTAAAACAGCTAATTTACCAGTACATTTTTTGCCGATTTTTTCATTTCCAACAATTTTCAATTGATAATAAATGATTTTTCACGAGTTGTAGGTTTTCCCACCAATTTGAAGGTTACTTTTTTGACTCTCCTCTTTTCATTTCGCGCCATTTTATTTTACAGACGTAAATATCCGTTATATCTGTTGTTCCTTCACGGAGTAATTGGGTAGATTAGAGTAAAAGTACAATTCTAGCAAGAGTAAAGAGCCAAATTCACTATATTTCGAGGATACCCTCATGCACGTTTCTTATGCGAAGTGGACCAAAGATAAATTTAATGGAATCATTTTTATAATTTACATGATTTCTGTATGTTTTACATACAGAGAACCCTAAACTGACCCAATTTAACATCAATTTAATTTTTGTATGTTAAAAATCAAGAAACGCATGCGTACGAACTGCCTTAAAGCAAAGTGGATTGTATTTGTATTGGTCTGGTCTTCTGTGGTTCATTGCTATTGCATCAGTAATGTGTTGTTTCTGTTCTAAATTGTAAATGTTAAATTCTCATTTCATTATTAAAATATAAAAGATCCATATTCAGATTTTTAAAAACAGTCATGTAATTTAACTGTACAGTTCACGACAAATTAACAAACCTTCTGAATAACATTTTACAGCTGATTACAGTTCCCTATTTTATTAACAGCAACAAGCAACAAATAAAAAAATAGAAAATAGAACTGTCAAGAAGTCGTGTTGTTTTTTTTATATTTGAGAATTGAGCTCTCGGGCATTAAGGTGTAAATAGGAATTGCATAGTGTCAGTTTGAAAATACGTGCAATTTTCGGAATAAGTTCATTCGAATTTAGTGTCTTGACAGAAATGGCAACAAACATGGATGAAGAACAGGCTCTACGTGAGTGCGAAGCCTACGTTCAAACGCATAATATTCAACAAATTCTTAAGGACTGTATAGTTCAATTGTGTGTAAGCCGTCCATCTAATCCTATTTCGTTTTTAAGAGAACACTTTCAGAAATTGGAAAGGGTAAGTGCATACATATATACCATTCAATAAAATACCAAGGAATGTGCTTCGTAAGTTTGCCTTAACTAAATATTTGAATATTTTTATGATCTTGTAGTCACTCCATTCAAATGGCATTTTGAATTGGCATTGGAAACATATACCTGAACATAAACTTAGAAAGATTGAGAGATTTCTATCTCTAAGGTTATTTTTCATAAGCATAAGATATATTTCTTGAATTTTTCTTTTATTTACTTAATAATTAATATTTTTCATGTTTGTATTCTGGATCAATGTGCGGAACATATTATTTAGATTATATAGCTATGTCTACAGAGACGTCTGACACTGTTATGACGAAAGTTTAATAACTTTCGTGATACTTACTTTCTTGAAACTAATATTTCTTTAATCAATATGATTTTTTTTAAATTATATTTCTTTTATCACTATTAATAGATCTGTGTTTAATCAGCACTAATTTAATCGACAACATTTTCTTCACTTTATGAAAGTACATACATATTTTAAATTTAAATACAATAGAAATAATAATTCTTATTTATCTTTATAAAGTAAATGCACTTATATATTTTCAAATACCTTGAATCGAGGTTTGAATATTTGAAGGATTTCATCGAAGCCAAAATATTTTGCTTTATTGTTTGCCAAGAATGTAAACGTGTTAAATTTATATAGAAGATATGGAGCTATTCTTTATAAATTTTCTCGCTTATATATGTAGAGATCGTAGAAATGAAATAGTAAAATTTTCAAATATCCTTTTATAGTCTGCATAAATTTGAAATTATTTAAAATCTGATGTAAATAAGTAACTGTAGCTTATGTATTTATTTTTATTTTTCTGTAATAAAATTATTACATTTCTATTCTTTTGACACTAATTATCTAGATGAACTAAATAACTTTGTAGATAGATTAAACTATTCATAAATAATAGGCATGATTTCCAGTTCTATTGTGTAAGTGATAGTAAAAACAAGAAATCTTAATTATTGTAAGCTTTTCTGTGATTTTTATTACTATCACCATTTCTGATCTAAAATTATGTTTAAAAATTCACAATATAGATTTGTTTTTAAATTTTTCGTTAGTGTACAGATTTATCAAGCTCTGTTTTATCTTACCTATCTTATCTCAGTGGAAATTTACAGTTTAAAAATTTAAACATACACGAAAATAGTCTCGTTTTACTTACTTTATGTACTTACCTACAAAATTTTTTAACACGATAAAGTTATGAAGCAATTTTTTTGTTCATGTATTAAATTATAGGTAGTTAACAAAAGTATCAGACAAATAGTTATTCAAAATGTTTTCATGTTCTTTTTTTGGGCGGTAATGAGAAAAAATGTAGGACTTTGCTATATCGTGTTACTAGACCTCAGTTTTAAATTTAATTTACATATTGTGCATTCATCTGGGAAAAAGATACTTTAACATATAAACAAACAAACAGTAAAATAAATATTTCCAAGTTACGTGTAAAAAAACAAAGTTAAACGACTACATTCATACATTGAAATCAGTTAATGTTTATATTCCGGTTATATTTACAATACAATCATTGAAAAAAAATGTCTGTATAAAACTACTAGTAAATGATAAAATAATTTTTGTGTAAAAATGAAAATATCAGTAAATTTTCTTTCATTCCGTGACAAATTGAGAACAAATAATAAATCATTCTGATACTCTACATTTCAATTAAATGACTATTCTGATGTAGGATAACACCTGAATAAAATTAAAAGTGATGGAGAATTCAACCATAGCTTTTAAATTTAGGCAATCGTCACAATTTAAATTTTTTTAAATTTCCAAATTTTCCAAAATATTCAATTTCAAACATGAGCCTAATTTAGACTTCTGTAAGAGTTTAAAATTATTGTCGACATTAAAAGTATGATTGTGTATTTTTTAAGTAAGTATCTATAAATAAACAGATTTTTCAAAATTACTCTTTAGCAATCGCTGAACCAGCAGCTAGCTTTAATTTTCCTACCGCTTTGGCCAACATAACAATTACAATTGTTACAACATAAATAGATAAACTTCAGATCAACAATTCAAGTACATTATATTAATAGTAATATTAACAAGTATATTAAATTCAAGTGTAAAATTATCAAAAGATAAAGAAGATATGGCAAAAAATCTATGTGTATAACAATTAAGTCAAGAAATCTTTAAAAAAAAATGACGATAAAGGTCCGCTTGTATGTTCTTGTTTTTTTACACATAATTTTGAAAATAAATATTTGTACTGAATTGAAAAGAAAACTATAATTACCCCATCACACTCACTGTTATTCAGTATTACAATGAAGTTTAAGAAGTTTAATAGGATTGTCAAAAAAAAACGATGGCTATAATTCCAAAATTATTAAAAAAGAAAAAGTGTATCTATAATATATCTAGTGACCTATGAAGTTTACATAAAGAAAACTAGATCTTTTTTCATCCTTTTAACTCGCAAATTATCGTGTAAGTAAGTGGCTTGGACTATATTGTCATTCCTACTCTAAATTAGGCTAACCAACCACTATTTTTCTTCGGTGTAAGGGTAAGTAACAGGATTACAAATCATGTGTTAATTTTCCAGCCGTTTCGGTTGCTGACAAATTATTACCTCTCAGTTGCCCCGAAACTAATTTGGCATTTAATTACGAATTCATTACGATGGGGATGCTTCGTCCGTCTGGGGTGGGGAAAAGGTCAGAGAAGTCCACCGTACGTCACAACGGCATACCACGGCCGGATATATCGGAAAATTTATTCCAAATTTTTGCGGCACGGTCGTTTTCGCGAAACGCTCGTCTAATTATAAACGGAATAAATGTGAAAGGTCGTAGGTTAAATGATGACACGACGTAGAGCTCTTCTGCCGTACCTTGCGTTTAATTTGCGCAAATTTAACATTTGTAGGTATTCCGTAATTGTAATTAATAATGCAGAGTCTGTTATTTGGTTAAAAAATTCCTAAGTCATTCACATACGAAAGACTCGGAAAGTGGGTCATGGAAATACGTTTTTCGCAGCGAATTTTACAGTGTATAAGGACCGAATGGTGTATCCTACGAATGGAAATTGTGTGTTAAAGCTTACAATGGGAGTTTTGTCACGTACATCTTCTTGAATAGTAGGGAGCAGTCGTAGTTAATTAACTCCCACAACTGTGGCTGGATATTTCCTTTTTTTTTGTGCGGGGATTTGATATTCCCCCAGATTTTCACACATTTGATCCTAAATATTTACGTAGGATATGCATGTGTAGGTGTCTGCTCTGCGTAATAAGTAGCTGTGATAATGCACCTGGATTAGGTTTACAAAATAAATAATAATAAAAAAAATTGCTCTTATAGACGGTTATAAAAGTCTTCGTAGTATCTAGTATTAGAACTTGATATTAAATAATTGAAACACTGACTAACGATTAGCGTCTTTGAAAAACGGTACCTATTTTAACGCGACTACTATAATTTCGACGTATAATAGTACGTGACAATATAAAATACTAACTAGAAACGCATGTAGATATTTGCCGCTATTCTCGTCAGGTTTGGTACACTACAACTCTCATATTAAATTAGCACCTTCATAAACAGTAAATAAATATGTTTACGTTCAATTGTTAAAGTGATAATTACTTTTCATAACTGTTTTCATCGTTTAAACCTAGTCTGATTGCGGAAATTGTTGTTTCCGAGATATACAGGGTGTCCCAAGAAAGGTTGAGACACCGCTCGATCACGGACTCTATGGTGAATATAAGATGATACGGACCATATTAAACTAAGCCTTCGTAAATGTTTACAAGTCACATAACTGCTAAGCTTAGGCAACCAACATCGCACTGTCTAAAAATCTTAGCGTTGTCGCCAATATTAATGATTCGTTTACAACGAACAACGACAAACCGCTACCTACGTTTACGCTGTAGATATTGGGATTGCTGATTGGATAGAGGTTCGGATTTTTATCACATGACTTGTTCGAAGGGTCATTAAAAATGAAAGAACCGCGGGGTGCTATTAAATTAGAGGGTTGAAATTGAAGATAGGGGTGAAAGTGCACTTTGCAGTTTTTTTGAATATAGCACGAAAACGAAGCAAAATTTCGGTATAGTTCATAGGAAAAATTTTGTAGAGAATTGAATTTCTCATCGAAATGGCTTATTTAAAAAATGTAAAAGGAAAATTTTTTGCAAAATATCGTTAATAAACAATTTTAAAGAAAGCAAAAAATAAGATTTTTTGATTGAAAGTGAAATATTTTAATAATTTTTTTTACCATGTCTTCCCAATTTTTTAATTTGGAGCAAAACGCCAAAAAAAACAATTTTTCACAACTTTTCCCGTTTCCTCCGAATTGTTAAACCCCCACACCCCCTCGCGTAACAACAAAAGGGCCAGATTGGGATCCGGCATTAATTTTTCATCGCTCCCGCCCCCCCGACTCCCTCCCCACGAACGGGCGGATAGTCCGATCCCACTCCCCCCCTCGCGGGACCTTATCCTGCCGGCGCCCCTCGCTTGACGTCACGGGGAGGCGGCCGGGATGCTTAGGGGTGCGCCGTCGCTAGGCAACTTGTGACATTCGGGTGCCGTCGATGCTACCGGACGCCGCGACGCGCTAATTGCAAGACGGTGCGTGCCGTACGTCGAGGAGATCAGGAGTGGACGGTGCTCCCACGATGATGCTCACGTTGCCCGTGGTAAGTAGACGTAGAGGACATCCTCGGTTGTTCGGGGGCATGGTGTAGGATAGACGGTGGATCGGTGAGAAAGGGCGCAGCACGTTCGCGGTCGGGGTATGTTGACCTAGTCGTAGTCGGATGTTGAGGCCGTGGATCGTTAGTTAGCGCGGGAGTAGGTTAGTGGTATTAGTTAGTGATGGGCACTGTCGAATGAATTCAGCTGTCGAATAACTAGTAAATACACTAAAACCGCTGTAGCGTCACAAGCAATTCGTATGAAGACGAAATATCCTAGTCAAATTAGTCACTGTTTTCATATAATTGAAATGTCATCTTGACAATTCCGAAATCTGGATATCTTCTAAATTTTAATACTGGTGTTATTGGTTAAGAAAATATGCCAAAAAATCGATATTTCAACGCTCAGAAAATATAAACAACAGTTAGTGTTTAGACGCGATCAAAACAACTGTCAAATTTTTAATCTGAATGTCGGCTCTATTTTGTTTCAACTGCGGTAGTCAAACTACTGTCTAAAACTACTTAATACCCAACAAACGTCCACCATTTTCTTTTACTCTAATACACATAAGTTATTGTCGACGATTGTCTGTTATAGATTGAGACTATGAAGACATGTATACCATCATTGTATCTCTTTTTGGCGCGTTTAACAAATAAAACTATCGAATCTCTAACAAGTTACAAATATTAGCCAGCGCAGTGATCGCGTCTATCGAATACATATTTCGATAGTGCCCATCATTAGTATTAGTTGGGCAATGTAGTCTGTGTGGACAAGTTATGTGATTTACTTATTTCGTCGAGGTAACAAATTACTTTTATAGCGTGCTTTGAAAACAAAATTTTCAATTTTGACAGTTACATTTTCATTGACACGACAAAATCATAGATTTGACAGTATGCTATGTATAAAATGTAGAGAGAGAGAGAGAGAGAGAGAGAGAGAGAGAGAGAGAAAGAGAGAGAGGTAATGAGCCAAGATGTAAAGTGAGTTGACACTAGTCTCGGTGTCACGTTTGCAGGCTTTTCACACGCGATTTGTTATATCCACTTTACGTTGGATTAAGTGTTACTGCGTATTTTACATATAGATTTGACAGTAATTTTTTTAATCGTTGTATTACTACCAAAAAAGAGTCAATTTCCTAATAACAAATAGTTTCTTTTAAAATCAAAGTTGTGCGATTTGTATCTATAGCAGGATCATATTCGATGCAAAGTAATAAATCATTGCCTGTCGAGGAATTCAGTGCAGTACGGTTTTAAGGGGTTTAGAAATTGAATAATTTCTTTATGCATTATGAAGGGATGAAATGATCAGTTCACGTCTCAAAACTATTTTAAATGTAATTTATTATAAATCCAATTTGTTTTTTAAATTCCACATTTTGGGTATAATAGGACGTAAATCCTCTGCCCTAACCTATTATGTAATAATAATAATAATAATAATAATAATAATATGTACTACATTTTACCTCCGTACGCACCGCACCACTGTTGTTTACTTGTTTTTTGAAGGAGGTCTCTGATTTACAACCAAGCTCGCCAGGTTAGTATTTGACGTATAACCGACCACTTCGTATACTCGATGCACCTGGGCGACTACAGCTACTACCGGAACACAGTGCGTATGCAGCTGTATTGCAGATTTTACATTCAATTTCGTTTTAAATTTGAAATGGTTCATATTACGCGTTCTAAAAATAATGACACGATTCTCCTTTGATAAAAGACCGACAATTTTTTGCATCGAATACGGTGCTATTATAGGTCACGTGACTTAGGGCAAATCGCATTGAATGTTGGCTTTGGCTCCATCCATAGTATATTGTCAAATCTATTGATCAAAATTTTGTATGAAGCAAAAAATTATTTTTTGTGTGCTAAGAGTTTAAAAAATCTGCGTTTGTTCTTCGGTTACAAGTAAAAACGAAAAACCACGATTTTCAGTTTTTTTTTACTGGTTCAATGGGAAAAAATATAGGTAAAATTTCTTTTAGGCAAGTTATTTGTCGTAAAATTTCGTAATTTTACCGACCATGTATTTTAGTCTTTTAATTGCTCCACATTAGCAAATTTTTATTTGGGAAAACTTAGAATTTGATTATCAATTTTGCAAGAAACAATCATTTGTATTGCAAGAATCCAGTTATTGTATTAGAAGTTGGAAATATTTATTATAAAAAATTATGGTGTTGAGATTTAAAAAATGTAGGGCGCTTCTATGGAATAGATGCTAATCCTAACCTTTTTTTTTTCTTCAAAAGTTATACTTAAATGCGATCGCCATTTTATTTCCGTTATTTGCGTTCGTGAATTGTTGGAAAAATTGAAACTGGCGAGATATTAAAAAACAGTTTTTATTGAAAACAAGTAAATATTCTATCCATAATAAACATCTGTGTAAAAATGTAAACAACAAGGCATTTGAAATTGATCCATTAAATAGTTAATAAGTTTAGAGAGGTGTAGGAATCCTCAGAAATATATTTTGGTTAACATATTAGAGACTTACGCGGGGCCGAAAGGCCCCTTTGAGGCACAGCGTTGCATCCATATCGTTATGATTGTACAAGTATGCGAGTTCTTTACAATAAAATATTTAAGTATTAACAAAAACAATTAATCCGCAAACTATAACTATAAATATAAAATATTTTTATCTGAAAACAAGTAAATATACTTTCCATTCATAGACTATCTTGTATAAATATAAATAACAATACATATAGGTATTCTCTTCAATAAGATAAAAATGTTGATCAATAATAATTAAACTAAGTACGATGGGCAGGACGTGATTCTTTTTTGTATTTTTTTTTTTTTTGTTTTTCTACGTATCCGCGCGGTCCGTCTACCCTCATGAGTAGGTCCCTATATACTCCGGCTTCCACAGCTGGTTGGAAAAGAAGTTATTGACTATCGCGAGATCCCTGTCGTGGTCAGGGGTGGCGATGACGGGCGCGATGGTAACTCCGTCCGGCACCAGGAGGCCCACTGGAATGAGGGGGTTGTCGATGAGGCGCTTTATCGACGACCGCTTGTCGGACGAGGGCACGTCTGGGCTCTTTGGTTCCTCTGGCGAGTCGAGATTCATCATCTCGCAAGTGGTCGGTAACTCAATGTTAAGTTTCAAAGGCAACGGTGAAGGCTTCTTGACGTTGTTGTTGTTCTCCCCCACCGGGGAGCTGGTGTTGTTGTTGTTGGTGTTCTTACTTCTGTAAAGTCGAAATTGGTCGTTATTGCGGAGGTATCAACCATTTAATAAATTTATGATAAAAATAAAGGATAGTCAATGAGTGCAATTGGTTACACAGGCCAACATTTTAAGCCAGAATGTACTTTTCCGAAGGATTTTGGTTTTCGAGATATCCTAACCTAAAAATGCCAAATTCGCGATTTTTTCATTTATTTGAGGTATTTTTTTTTGCTAAAAAAATGGATTGGTATTTAAACCTATTAAAATAACACATTTAGAGGAAAAAAAATAATTGTTACCAGGACTTTTGTAAGTGGAAATGGTAAAGGGACTTATAATAAACGACAAAAAGAAATAAATGCGTGAGCAGGGGTGGCGGAGGGTTAATTTGGGGGGTTGAAAATTTGTGAAAAATTGTCTCATTGGGATTTCTGGCGAAAGTTGACATCAAACAAAAAAGTATCCAATACCAAAGTTGTAGATCATGCAAAAATCTACAACCTTTGTAGAGGTCACTTTTTACGATAACCTCAAAATTTCCGAGAAAATGCGAAAAACAGGTTTTTTCTTATTTTTCGTTTTTTATTTCTCATTTCCGCAAAAATAATTTAATTTTGACGAAACTTGGTGAAAGCATACCTTTCTGTGTCTTAAATAACCACAATTTTTTTTAGATAAAAAAATCAAGACCTTTCCGAGATATTCATTTTTTCCGGTCTGAAACACTTTTTTTCAAAGAAAAATTCTACTTAGAAAAATCATCGTATAGAGTTCTGCCAATGATAATTTTTTTCATTTTGACATACTTTTTGGTGAAATAAAAACATCTGTAATCACAGTTCAAAAACATGCTCAAAAATGCAAAAAAAATGCAACAATTAATTTTCCAGTAATTGAAAATTTGTTTAAATTTAATAAAAATGTAAAAACTGATTGCACCATTCAATTGTACGGAAAAAATTAAAAAAACTGTGTCTCATTGTTTGACCCAAAACTTTATTTTTGTACAGTATTGCTATAAACATTATTCGAATAGTGAATAAATAAAATTAATATTTTTTTTTCCGTAGGATCGATTAGTGTACTTATTTTTTTTTAATTTTGATGAATTCATAGATATACAATGTGTCCAAGATAAGGATGGGATAGCATTAAGATCTAGGAAACGGTAAGAGATACGGGGTGGCTCAGATTAGAAAAAAGTTGTGTTTTTTTATACCTAACAATATGCAGTTTAGAAAGTTTTAAAATTCCGGGTAGTTTCGGAGATATCTGGAAAAACCCGAAATTTTGCAAAAAATAATCACCGGCAGAACTCTGTATGATGATTTTCCTAAGTAGAATTTTTTTTTTTTTTAAATTGTTTCAGACCAACAGAAAATTAATAGCTCCGAAACTTCTTGATTTTTTATCTATTTTTTTTTTTAAATTTAAACAAATTATTATCAACAGATACTGAAAAATTCATTGTTGCGTCATTTTTTATTTTTGTTTTGCATTTTTGAGCATGTTTTTGAACTGTGGCTACAGATTTTTTTATTTCACGAAAATGTATGTTTAAACGAAAAAAATTATAATCGGCAGAACTCTGTACGATGATTTTTCTAAGTAGAATTTTTCTTTAAAAAAAAAGTGTCGGTCCGGAAAAAATGAATATCCGTAACTTCTTGAATTTTTTATCTAAAAAAATTTGTGGTTATTTAAGACACAGAAAGGTAACTTTCATCAAGTTTCGTCAAAATTAAGTTATTTTTGCGGAAATGAGATAAGAAACAAAAAATCAGAAAAACAGTTTTTCGCATTTTTCTCGGAAATTTTGAAGTTATCGTAAAAAGTGACCTCTACAAAAGTTGTAGATTTTTGCATGATCTACAACTTTTGTATTGGATACTTTTTTGATTGACGTCAACTTTCTCCAGAAATCCCAATGATACAATCACAACTTTTCGACACCCCAAATCAATCCTCCGCCACCCCTGCTCACGCATTTATTTTTTTTAGGTTTATTATAAGCCCTTTTACCGTTTCCACAAAGTCCAGGTAACATTTTTTTTTTCTCCAAGTGTCATTTGGTTGGACTACAGTAAGAAAACTAGTCTATTGAAGTTTTATCGGTGATGGTTTTATCACCCAATAACTGAATTGAATTTTGAGTTATTCGTTGAATATCATTCAAGGCAATGGCTTTCCTAAAATTTTTTTCGAATTTTACTTTGTCAAAAGGTAAAATTAATTTTTATTTCTCTTTTATTGAATATTAGGATTTAAATCAAGTAAAAGGAAATAAGGATTACACTCATAATTTTACCAGGAAATGTAGACAAAAAAATATTACTAATAAAATTTGATTTTTCCCTTCAACAAAACTTGTTCTGAAGAAGCAAGTATACATTGTACTGTAAAAAAATAAGTTGGAAAACTGTCTACGTGCTACTGTCCAAGTACTCGTAACCTCAAATGTTGCAATATTGAGAAAATTTAAATAAAAAATACATAATTATTCATTAGAAGAATCATATTAAAGTAATATAAATTCTAGGTAATCATATGCTTTTATTTCCAAGGAGAGTTAAGTATTTTTTTATGCAACATACATGTCTCTTATCAAATCATTTATTTGGGAAGATCTAAGTTTTAATACAATCATTTTGTTTTTTAAACAGTAAAAAATTGTGTGTGTGGTTTTGTTGTGACTATAGTCCGAGAGATACTATTATTAGATTTTGCATTTACCAATTGACCTGCGACTGAGGCCGGTCCTGTTAGGAGCCGCGTGTCCCCGAACCCCATTAGCGACCATACTCACCTATTATGACTACTATAGCTGTTCAAGCCGAGGCTGGATATCAGCTTCTCGCGCTGCAGCCTGACCCTTTTGGTAGTTATCACAAATGCGCTGACGAAGGCTTTTTGGCAGACCTCCACCGTCTCGTCGGAGGGCAGGAGCGGCACCAGGTACTTGCAGGTGATGCGTCGAGGCGGCCGCCCCGAACCCGTCGTCTCCGGTACGTTTAGGCGGGCCCGCAGGTCCATGTGCTGCCGCAGGAACTGGTTCTGCAGGTCGGCCTCGCCCAGCCCGTAGAAGTGGCTGAAGAGGTGCTGCCGCGCCTCCTGCGACACGCTGGCGTCGCACTTGTGGGGGCACTGGCAGAGCTCATCTGGAAAGGGATATGACCGTCAGACATGACAACGGAAATTTTAATGCGGAGGGAAAATGGAAGGGAAGAGTTGGACTTAATTACTTGGTCGGTCGATTTTCATCACTTATTGAAGTAGGTTATATTATTCTCGTTAATTAACGATTAATTTAATTAAAATTGTGGTCGAGCACGGAATTGAAGCTTTCCTCGAATACTCAGTTGATACTCGAACTCCTCTAAACAGTTTGATGACTGTCTATTTGTTTTTACTACAAATAAGGTGTTATTAATGCTTTTATATGTATGCGTGTTAGTCATTGTTCGTTGTAAACGAATCATTAATATTGATGACGCTAAAATGTATGGATTTTTAGTTGACAGTGCCAATTGTGCATTGTTGGTTGTCTAAGCTCGGTGGACAGGTGGCTTGTAATCATTTATGAAGGTTCTTCTTGCCATCTTTCTGTGAAACTATTACATCTATATGCAATATAGTTAACCTTTGCAGCGAAACAAAGCTCTGTCGATAAATTGATAAAGGAAAGAGATTTTTTGATTCTGTAAAAGCTAGTCTTAGAGCTCAGCTTCAAGAAACATTTCAAAATTATAAATTTTCAATGAAAACGTAAGGTCAAACTCTCGGTGCTTATTTATAATGATGTGAATGATGTGGTTTAGCGTGATCATTTTTGATTTCTCAAAATTATTATCGAAACTCGCTCCGATATTTTTCTGTGTCTTATAATATTTTATTTCAGAAGGGGAATTCCCTCGGCAATTTTAAATATTCAAATGTTCATTTTCCGATCCATTTCCACGGGAAGAAAGCATCGGAAGTCGTTACCAAGTTCAGCTAATTACGAAACACATTAATATTCTATATAAGTGCACTCTTCCCCAAGGCTTTTAAAGACAAGATTTCGCTTTTAAAAGTTTGAATTTAAAAAACTTTACGATTAGATCGGTGTAACAGCTAATAACATTTAATAGATACCTACGTTAAATGAGCAGTTTGGAAGGTTTGTACAGTTCATTTGTCGCTAAAAAATAGAAGGTTTATTAGAATTATTGTACAATTTGTTTGTTAGATCGCGATTCGTGACTGTGTATTTACCAGAGCGGTAATTAAACATTGTGGGCTTAAAAATAATGAAAATCCAATTAATACCACGGTCTTTGCCCAGGGCCTTGCGTTAATAGTTTCGTCATTATGCCTCAAGTACGTTTTCCGAACTTTGAATATCGTTTATGGTATAATTTTTTATATATATATATATATATATATATATATATATATTTTAACCTTAATTCAAGGAAGAGTAATATATTAATTAGCGTTAGCAACGCCCGATTCCATTTTAAGTACTTATGTGTAATTAACGTAATAATTAGAGTAATAAAATACGCATTGTCTTAGAAATCCTGCGTATTTGGCATTGGGGAACGTCCACCCATAGTATTTATAAGATAGTCGTCGGTTTCAAGGTCCCCTGGTAGTGTTGCACACATTGACGCTATATAGGCACTCCGTCGAATAAAACGGGTTTTCTTCACATTATCTTGACGTAGGAAAAAATTATATTTATCTCAAGTGGCCAAACAGAATTTGATCGATTGCGGTTTCGATTACCAACAAAAATCTACCGGTTAGGTAATGTTCCTCGAACAGTCCCATTTCCCTGCTTGGATGCCAAATGGAATAGTTTTATGTCGAGTTAAATTTAGGTCAGGTCATTTTACCTATCGGAACTATTACAATGGAAAAATTATCATAACTATTACTAGTTTTTATTTAATACTCCATTTTTAGTATAAACAATGTCACAGGTTTCATCTTATAGACAATAACTGTTTTTTAGAGTATACTTTTCGAAATTTTTTCATTTAAATTAATTTTAAATTTTATGTATTTCGACCCGCCAAATTAGACAGAAGATTTAAATTCCTTACATATCTACAATATTCAGGAGCTCACTATAGTGTTTATACACCTTAAACTATAAGCCATATTTTTTACTGCGCGACTCAAGGACGAAATTAATTGCTTTAAGTTATGTAAGAGGACTTACAAAAAAAAACATCGAATTCAGTCATATTTCTAATGATATTCCATGGGCCTGAGCTACGTAGAAAAAGAATAATGGGAGCCGTTATTCTTGTCAATAAAACAGTTCAACACAAGTTTGTCGTGTAAGTTATACGAATTGATAGAAAATTTAATTCGAATTCGGTTTAATAGCTTGTGTCAGGTATCAAAATAAAAACAAGGACAATTACTAGTAAAAATTGATTACACTGTTTTAGTTTATTCGTAGTTTTAACGCCACTTGCTACTTAGAATAAGGATAAAGAGCTTGTCCCCATTTTTTAATCTATCCAAGCAGAATGTTGCAACAAAAACTATTGCTAGCAATTTGTGTTGTTCATTGTTTAGATACACCTGGTTTTAATTTAAAGGATTAAATTATTTCATTTTTTTAAGAACCTTAGCGCAGTGTAGTGTAATTAATTAATGAATAATACTAAAAAATATCAATAACTAGAAGGGAGTTCTGCTAAAAGAGATCCGTGATTGGATGTTGGTAAAAATAATTAATCTTAGGTTTAAAAGCTTCAAATTTTTTTTATATATACTTTATTTACGAATTTTGATTGACTGAATTGTCTACATACTGTTGCCTCAAAAAAAATTATATACCACTGATGACCTAGTTGATAATACATATTTCTTTCGCATATAATCAATAAGTTTAAGGCCATACCACCTTTCGATTTTCGTGTTAATCATTTGCCTCAAAATTGTTAAAATCTACTTCATAGCAGAGAGATTTGGTTGTCCTGTTTCTTTCTTTTTTTTTTTTTAAACAAATACTTTACAGTTTGGCTTTAATGTGTACAGTAAATATACCGTAACAATTCGCATAACGAATTCGCTGTTAGAAAGCACGTTTTTTTTTAACTTGGGCAATGGGCAATGCGGATGTGATTTTTTTTGTACCCGCACAGGTATTTTTTTCACCGAAAATGGAAATATGATTTTACTTGTTCATCCACAAGCAAAAACGAAGTCATTTTAACCAGAAGGTTTCCTGTCGACGAGGAGTGGATGCTTAGAAAAAAATTTATGGCTTAAAACGGCTTTTTATCGGCGACCGCAACAATTCAACGAGAAAAAGGTGATTTCATCCACCGGTAAATACACGTTTACTTCGCTATGGATTTCCTAGGTGAACATTTTTATTTTATAACTTTTGTTTATTAGAGCAGTGCCTTGACGACAAGGTGAAAGTAACCAAATTAACTAGCCGGAATGAGTGTTTGTCGAAAGGTTGGAATATTGTAAAAATCGGCGCGGTGCTTTTAGCTCTCGATAAACATGTTGACAATTAAAAATGGTAGCTCTGTCGGGAGGCAAATCTCATAATATGCCATGCATTTTTTTCTGCGACTGGTTTAATAAGTATTTTTTATGAGTTATACTTGTAGGTAATAAAAAATTGTTAATTGGACAATTATTGCTAATTATATACGTAACTAACCTAGGACAAGGTAAAGATTTTAATGAATATGCAAATAAATATCAATATCGAAGACGTGATTTGCTTTGGTTTGCTGTCGATATCTGCATATTTTTAGGCTACTGGACAATTTAATTATCTGCAAGATTGGTCCTTTGCGATGTTTTCCAAATCCTCGCCGTTTTCGAGATATTCAAGGTTAAGTTCCAAAAACAAGGTTTTTCACGAATATCTCGCGCCCAATGCATTGGACGTCATGGAATATCTCGTGGGTGGTGTGGAAAAGAATGCAATTATTATTATTATTCGCGAAAAGCAATTTTCTTTGGGAGTTTGACCTTGAATGTCTCGAAAAGGGCGGGGTTTTGGGAAAAAATGCAAGAGACCTATTTAACACATAATTGAATTCTCTACAACGTGCTAACTTTATCGCTGTCCGATGCATTGGGTGCGAGATATTCGCGCGAAATACCTTGTTTTTTAAACTTTGACCTTGAATATCTCGAAAATGGCGAGGTTTCGGGAAAAAACGTAAGGGACCAATCTTGTAGATAATTAAATTCTTGACATTGACGTTATGGATGTCCCGTGCATAGAACACGAGATATTTGCAAAAAACTTTGCCCTTCAATATCATGGGTTCGCGGATTTGGGTTTGGGTCACTTCAAAGAACGTCTGTGTAAAACTTCGGCTTGGAGGGACTTTATCGAGATCAAACGGTAATTTCTGTAAAGGTTACAAAAAATTCCCTTTGTGGGCCCAATTTGGAAAAATATAACATGAAATATTTCGATCTGTTTAAATACATGTTTTTGTTTCGTTTTTGATTCTAGATCCAATCGATTAATTCATGTATCTTGGACAATTGCTTGGTAAATATTAAGCGAAATTTTTTTCAATAGTTCTTGGCGTGCATATTTGTTTTATTCGCCGTTGTTTGGACTATTACGTGATTAAGTGATTTTATTTAAAATATTATGATGTCGCACGTATAAATCGGTATCACTTTTAAAACCGCAATCAAGGGGGAAACGGTAAAAGGTTTGCGTGAAATATTTTTTTCTTGACGTAATGGTGACTTATTTTTAAAAATATAAATATCATCAGTTCTTATTATCACCTTTTATTTAAATTTATACAAAAATATACACGTTCCTACATATACTTATGACGGAAAACGCGTGGAAGAATGATTTTTTTCTTGCCAGACTAAGTTCACGTTTGTTTGTTTAAAAATATCAAGTATTCACGTAAAGTAGTATTTTAATGGATACGTGGAAGGAAGATTGATAACGGTTATTATTCGCATGTACTTGAGTAGTGAGAAGTACTGGATTTATGATAAAAACACGATAAGATATGATGTGGCAGACCATTTGACTACAGAAATCGACGAAAATATGTTTCAAATTACATGTTGCAATGAAAAATAAACGTCTCATATGTGCCTATTTATTTTTTTCCTACAGGGGTGAAAATAATTTATAAAATTAACCACATAATTTTTCATGAATCTACTACGAAAATAAGCAGTAGTGACGCGAAGTATTTCGTAAGCTCCAGATAACTTTACTCTTTTAATAATACTGTTTACCATTCGATTTTCTTCCATAGTAGTTCACTGATATTTAATTAAATCCAAGCTCTTGAGCAGAACAAGAATTTTATTTGTAATTTGATTAAATTAATACATACGTGAATTAAATACCTTAAACAGTTTGTGTATCGGTACCTTTCAACAGTTCCAACTATTAATAGTCGTCGATTACGCCTTGAAAACTTTTCTAAATCTGCTTTTCCTTGTTGGTGGATATTTTGCGGGCTATTTCCAGCAATGGTGTTTTTAAATAACTAACAGAGATTCAAATTGGGCTGCAGACACGCAGCTGTAAATTTTTTAATTCCGCTTGTAAGTTAAGATAAAGAAAAAAATAATAATGCTATTACTTAGGTATATTGTTTTTTAATTGTTAAATATAAAATCCATTCAGAAAAGGATATGCTACAATGCATTTAAAAGCGATTAATCCGATACCAATTATTTTTTTCGCAACACGTAGGAACTAATGTCATTTGGGCAACCTTCAAACCGCCGCATAAAAACCTTTTAAAATACAAGTCCCATAAAAATGTCTATTAAAAGTTGGTAGCATTACGTCTAATAATTGATAAATTAACTCGCTGCACAAGTGCAATGTTTAATTATTTATTTGCACCGTGAGTCATTAGCGCGCGCATAATTGCATTACGTTGGGTTTTTTTGTCGATCCAAGAAAACGGGGCGAAGTGTATCTATCCTACGTGTCCGCCGATATTATCGCCGTACCGGATAGGCCGTTGCTTACTTTCACAACAATAGATAAAATGTCCGCGTTCAACATTTTTTTCGTTTATCTCTCGCTCATCTTTGACGTTTCCATTCCGGCGCGGTCTGGGACCGGCCCGTACAGCTACTGGAATCTGCTACCACTTCTTGTGTATATCGAGCACGTATGGGTGACGTCACTCGGCAGGATTTAAACTCCTCACAAGGCGCGAAACCGTCCTGCTGTGCCTCACTGTACTCGGAAATGATTGTTTTCGAAGTAATTTCGTGGCCATCATTCGGCCGATGTCCGTGCATTATTTTTTTTACACATATACGTAATGTCCAACGGCAGAAATTACCGAGGTTTCGTTTTAAAATAACAGCGAGCGCGCGGCAAAACATTTCCATAATTCCGTAATATTCTGAACCTGTTATAAAAATTGTTACACGTGCCCTAGCGACAAGGCCATCGTTTCCTTCCCAATAAATCGAATGACCTAGATACGGAAGGTCGTAAAAGGTGCCGAAAGTTTTTTTGAGATCCGCATTAATTTATTTGGAAACGGCTCCTATTAACTCGGCTCTGTTATTGTTCTTGTTCAGGATGGACGCGGTTTCGGCGTTCCCAGGGCGAAATATGGTAAAACGGCGTAATTTATCGTATGATTCAGCAACGTGACGTATTGAAAATACTGCACGGGCACAAAATAAGTACTTGGTTATATGGCACGAAATGTCATATCACAATGTAAACAATTGAAAATCCACGTTTACTCACCCGCCACCTTCTTTGCTGGTATCAGTTTCCCCGTCCTGGATATGTAGGCCAACCCCGCGCTGCGGAGATGTTTCTGAAGTTTTCTTTTCGACTTGGGAATGCCCTGTTTGTCGAGACGTTCCAACAGAGCAGCTGATGGTGTCGCCATATTACTGTACACTCGCCTGTGGCGCTCGCGATTGAGGCGCGAGCAGACCGCGAACCGTGTCGCGGCCTTGTTTTGCGGTCCTCCGACAGATCGCGTTGGCTATGACGCAACACGTGAAACGAATGAATGCGAGGGGTACGAGGTGGGGGGCCCTGGGGTATCCCACGACCGACTTATTTTGGTAATTCGGTGGCAGGACAGGTTTCGCGTCTTGTCATTAGGTCATGTTTTTTCCAAAACAGAAAATATTCATCTGGGAAGCAGTCGCGTGCTTTTTTTTTCGGCAATTATTTACTGGCAGGCGGGTTTCGCGGATTTTCGTGGAGGTTTGTCCGTGCCGCCCCAGTATTTTTGGACTTCGAGGAAAGATAATTTGGCCTTTCTGACCTGGTGGTGCGCACATTTCAAGGAAATCATTTTTTAAGTTCATATCTGGAACCTGTCGTCTTATTGTTTCCCGTTCTGATAAATTTGTTAAATTTTGTCGCATTTGCTACGTGCGACACATTTGACCAAATAGGAAATAACTAAAACTTTTTGTGTTACAGAAAGCATTTATAGAAATTTATGGCAAATATAATTTTAAACGTGCGGTGTTCATTAAGAAAGAAAAACAATGGCGTAGAAATTTTAAATTTTCCCTTACATTTCTTTGTGATACCAACAGTTCTCAAATTATTTTTGAATTTTAGGCAAAGACAGTAATAACTTGAAAATTACTCGTTTTTCGAATAAATGGAAAGGATATTTTTTCTTTGGAATACAATTGTCTATCAAATGGACGTTTCGAAATACTCAGAATCACCAAGATCGTGGGGTTCTTAGTGAGGATGTCCCACAGCATCCCCGTTGTTGTATTTGAAATTTTTCCATAAAAATGATGCATGTTCAATTTATGCATAATATTTGGTTTAATTAAATGAAATGCATGAAACAATTACACGAAATGTATACGAATATAAAATACACGACCTCTATCAGTATTCCACTTTTTAACGAACATTGTTTACGTCATTATAGATTTTAGATTATTTTTGTATATTTATTTATCTGCTCTAATGAATATGAACCATTTATTTCTGAACGTATGCAAGAAGCTCTACACATCGAGTGTTTCTATGGTTGCCTAAGTGTGCCACCGCGATATAAAACGAAATAATTTTTCCGCGACGTTCAAGGTTAACATCCCCGTTTCTGGAAAAATAACAGTGTCTCCCCTTCCATTCCATTCATACATTGTTCGAGGAAGATATTAATTTTTTTTGTTTGTCGGGGGAACGGTTATTAATTCTGTCCCATTTCTCTGCAATAGCTTCAGGTGTTCTGTAGGACTTCCATAACGCTCCCGACCACCTATACAAAGGACGGTTTTTCTAAAGCTTCGTCCTTATTTTTCATTTGGTACTTTTATTCATCTTGTCGCCGTTGGGTAGGTCTGGGAAATTCCCGAGGCGAGTTTCATTGTATTTGTTATTATGTTATGAAGGAAAGAAAATAACTTATTAAATCAAAAAGTTATGTAAAATTGATCGTAAATGTTTGTAATGTCCATTTGTCCATATTATTTTAATTTTCTAAATATCTTTAGATATGTACAATCTTGAAATTGTCATTTTTGGCTATTCAAAATTTTCGTTTCACGTAGAAGATTTATCAATTTATTTGGGTAATTTGGCACTTGTGAAAACTATGATATAAGTAAATAACTTCAGTAAACGACATTTATTTGTCAAGTTATCTTGTTAAGTTTTTTTTTAATATTTGTACAAAAATGTAGGTAGAAAAATGTTCAAACGAAATTAAATTAATTGACCATAAGTTCATGCAGATTTAGTTAATTAGTGTATTAATTAAGACAATTATAAATTTGACATTTTCATTTTAATTTCTAAAGAGATATAACACAAATTGGTAGAATCAGAGTACAGTATGAAATATCGATTTAGGGTGTGTAATTCGCGGCTTTATATCCATTTATAGCTTTTGGTTGGAAACTTTTTATTGTTCTCGTCTGTATGTGCGATTATGTTTTGTAAAATTGCTGGAAAATGCTTTGAATATAATGTACATGTAAATTAAACATAACCCCGAGTGTTTCTGAGTTAGTTGTCAACTCGATAACAAGGAAAGTTTGTTAATCTGTTATTTAATCAACATATGCAAATGAAGCACGAGGATAAGGCCTTTTCCATAAGAAAAACTTTATGTAAAATGTTATTTAATAGGGATAGACATTTATGATATGTGATGAAATATTTTATTCTTTTTTATGTTGCTCACCTTTCATTGAAATTCCTCCAAATAATATTAAATTAAGGACACGATGACGTTTGCCATTATGTCCTGTCTTAATGAGCTTTACGAAGATTAACTCCTCATCTTTGTCTAAAAGAGGGAGTAACAAGGACAGGGATGGTAATCCCAGCACCCTTCGTAAACTCCTATTATGTCGCTATACTGGCAGTACCAACAGCGACCAATAGTAATTACTAGTCGCTTAAGCGCAAATCTACAATTACTGGATTTGATCACAATGAAACTCAGATATGTTGAGATAATGCAAAGGACAACAACTGTTGCTCACGAAAACCAGCGAGCTGGTTTTGAACTAAATAACAGGGTTGACTTTGCGATTATGTAATTTATTCATTTAATATTGAGCATATAGCAGTCGACTATATTTTATGTGTACTATTAATATCGTACGGACTGTGTACTTAACATCTCTAACATCTTGAAAAAAAAAAAAACATGATTAATTACCATGTTTTCATCGCCGAGTCATCCATTACTGTCTTAAAGTTTACTGCGGGATGATAAATATCATCCCAGGTGATATTTTAGAGCGTTAATACCTTTAAAAACTCAATCCGGTAATTGCTTAATAAAATTCCCCCTCGGGAACTTCGCGGACATGTTTGAGCGACTACGTATACTTGGTTAATGCAATTGCACTCGAAAACCGTGATTAACTTTATTACGTGCATGAAACTTCGCGAGATCGGAGAAGTTCGTTAGTATTAAGCGTAGGTGCCATATTTTATGAAGCTGCCCCATCAATTTGATTTTAGTTAGTTGTAATTTTGCTTTACGGATAACTTTTGGGCGGACTTGGAACGTCATAATTAAACTGCAGGAATTGAGTCAGAATCTCAATGTCGATTTGATCTTGCGCGCTTATTTAAGAAGGCAGTTTTTGTTTTTAATAACGAGCTGTTCGCCAATTTCAAAATTCACGTGACTAACCCTAGCGTGCCCTAACAAAGCCCCTCCATATCTTTTTAACCGTTGAAAATATCGAAAAACTAACTGTCCCTCTAGCATTTCGTTCGAGGATTCCAACAAATCAAACCGCACCCTTCTAAGTTGAAAAATAAAAATTTTACGGGCTGTTCGCCAATTTCAAAAGTCACGTGACTTAAAACGTGCCCTAACTTTTCTTAACTTATTGTTAAACCAGTTTGACAAACATTTTCTTATTCAGTACTTGTCAGTCGGGGTAATCCATAAAATTGCAATAAAATGACGTATTCGGCTATTCCTGTTTCGTTAAATTAAAGTGGCGGTTTGTTTTTTATTCGTTTACCATCCCGTCGTATCATACCAGGGGTGAAATCAACTGGCAATAGCAGCTTTTCGAAGGCGGTAATGCGGCATTTTTGTGCTTTGATACAACTTTCCAGGCTAATTTCGGGTGGCCCTTGGCCCTTGTGGAATTAAAACGAAACTAATTATAACTGGTCTATTTATTTGATTAAAAAAAAAAAGAATTTCAGGTTCGTATTCAGTCAGAGCGGCAAAATGATATTGACGTTGTTACGTTGGAGTGTCCTTTTCCTGCTGCCTAGACTCGTCTTTGCGCTTTCTTCGTCTTCGGATTGCCGCCTCTGGTTTTCAGACCGCAGGATCGTCATGCGGACGACGACTTCGTCCCGCGGCGGACGCCAAGATGTAAGGAAGGCGTAGCGGCGAGTCGGCGTCAGTAAACTGCCAGTAGCCGGTGTCGTAGAACGCTTTGTCGGTCTGGGGAAGTGCGTGCCAATCCGTGAGTTTCGCGTCTCTCTTGGCGCTGATTCGCACTCGTCCGGGCGGCTAAACCACCTCGAAGATATGCCCCAGGTACACCCAGTTGTATTTTGTTTAGGTTGTTTGGTTTTCCCAAGTTAAATTTTGGAGTAACAATCGTTCTTAACTTTTTAAATAAGGACTTCATTTTCTAGGTAGAAGAAAAGAACTATTTATTGAATTAAATACAGGTGAAGAACAACAGAAAATTAAACATATCTTTCCTTGTATAATTAATGAGTTAATGAAAGTTGCGCCAAAGTTAACGATTATTATTAATATTAATCTAATTTGCCTAATCAAGTGTCTCACAAAAGTTAGACAATAAATATATTTATATATAAAATACATATCACCCACTTCAATTACCGTTAACGTTTCGAAAACTCCATCTGTTTTCGTTATCAAAATTGGAAATGAGTCTCTTTTTTAGTTAGTTTTGGCGCTTTTAATTTGTTTGTTTATCTGCTTCCGCATCTAAACCTATCAATATGACGTGTAGTATGTTATTATTGACTTATTTTAATACTGGTAACTATTTTTTAATATTTAGTTTAGTTTAATGTAACATTCGTCGTCTGTTTTAATTTTTTAACGGTAATATGTTCCGTCCTTAAAACGCCATTGAATTATAAAACCTATACAGGGTGTTTGCGAAATATTTTAGGGGGTGGTTGCCGAAGTAGGTCGAAATATGCTTCGTTTCCGAGATTTTTAAATTTTTATTTTTTATTAATTATTTCAGAGCTTTAAAGATCAAAATTTGAAAAACGCTTTGGAGGGATAAATGGGCATTGTTTGGGGAATATTTCTACTTGCAGTGGCGTTCGTGCGAGAATGCCACATTTTTTAATAAAAAAATTGTACGCCACTGACTTTTTCCCGTTTTGATATTTTTTTTAATCCGCCATCAATTCTGAATGAAATTAGTCTCTTCTATTTTTTTCGTGGGATGCACCCGTTTTTGAGCAAAAAAATTAAACATTTTATTGTAAGTTTTGTAATTTCTATTG